AAGATCCTCTCCAGGTTTATGATATAGATACCTTCAGGCTTCCTCCTGTGGATGAACCATCTAGAAATCAAGGTTGGTGCCACTGAAGTTGGGTTCCTACAGCAAGGAATTTGAAGACATCCTCTTCCTTCATCTGTAGGACATCAAGGACTCTGGACATTGTGTGCATTTTCCTTTAAGTTACAATGGGAACCAAAAACACACTGGTATGGACCTGTTCTTGGCAGTATGAATAGGGGATTATAAATATTTTAAAAGGAGAACATAAGCTTAAAAGTGAGGAAGCTATGTTAGAAGAGGTGAGGGTAGGGGCAATGGAGAAAAAGAATGAGGGGAGGACATAATCAAGATACACTCTAAACATGGATAAGTTTTAAAAATTTATAAAAATCAAAAGAAAAGACAAACATATCAGGTGGTGGTGACACATATATTTAACCCCAGCACTCAGGAGGCAAAGTCAGAAGGACCTCTGAGTGTTCAAGGACATTCTGGTCTACAGAACAAGTTCTAGGTCAGCCAGGGCTATACAGATAAACCCTGTCTCAAAAAACCAAAAAGATAAATATAAAGATTTGTTTAAGAACAGAGGAAGTTGTAGAAGACATAAATTAGGCAATTAATTATATACCTCCTGAAGAGGAGTACATTCCTTTTATTCATAACTGATAGCATTAACATCAACAGATAACTCAAATATAAGCCCATGTAGTCACAGCCACTTGAATGCTGGCAAAGATGCCAAAATATATATTAAAGAAAAACAGTATCTTCAACAGATGTACCACAAAAACTGGCATATTTCTTCCAAATCCCCAATTAGAAGAATGAAACTAGAACCTTCTCTCATCCTGTAACAAAAAACAAAACAAAACAAACAAACAAAAAAAAAAAACAAAAAAAACAAAAAAAAAAACCAAACTCCACGTGGATCAAAAACCTTAGTGCAATACCTGAAACTCAAATTGTAAGAGGAAAAGGCAGAACAAACACTTCAGGATATAGGCATGGGCACCAACTTTCTGAAAAGGACTCCAAATGCTCAGGAAATAAAACTAGCAATTGACAAATGGGATTTCATTACTTCAAAGGCATCTATATAGTAAAACCAAAAAGAAAATCTACTGAATGGGCAGTCTTCAACGATACACCTTGTAGGGGACATGGACAAAGAACACAGAAACTCAAAAGTGAAATAAAAATAAATTAAAAATAAAACAATATATAAATGAACTAATGAAAGAAATGGTCCTTTCTCAAAAAAAGAAAGAAACACAAGTGGCCAAAAACATGAAAAAATGTTCAATTTGACCAGCCATCAAAATAATACAAAGTAGAACTACAAGGAGATCCCCTCTCACCCCAACCAGAATGGCAGTCCTTAAGAAAACACAAAGCAACAGATGCTGGCAAGAATAGGAGGAGGGGGTTGGGAGGTGTGGGACTAGGGCTGCACCATTATATATACTGCTTGGGGAAACGTAAACCGGGTCAACTTCAATGAAAACTAATTCAGAGGTGTCTCAAAAAATTAAAAACAAATCTACTCCTTGGCCAGCTAGCCCACTCATGTGAACTTCCCCAGAGGATCCAAGTGAATACATCATAGAAACACTTGCATAGCAATATTCCCTGTGAACAATGGAATTTTATTCAGTCATGAAGAACAACACAATCGTCATTTGTAGAAAAGTAGATACAACTGGAAATTGTCATATTAAGTCAGTTCAGTCTCAGAAATACAGCACATTTTCTCTTATTTGTGGGTCCTGAATTTTATATAGACATGTATGGACATAAGTAATGAAATGCAGGACTGTCTAGGGGAGCATAGGGGACTGATGGGAAGAGGAAGAAGGAGAAAAGGGAGAGTACAGAGTATGAGGGAGACACGCTCAAAGTATGTTATATACTTATTTACAATGTCTTTATGAAACGGAGTACTGTATACAAAGAAAATATGGCAATTAACATATGAAGGAGTCTCTCTGGTGGAGCTGCCTGCAATCTGGGCAAGCAGCTTTAGGCTTTCTGATAAGGCCTTCACGTCCCCCATGCTTCTTAAAGTAACCCTCGTCCACACTCTTGTAAGTAATCCCAATAAACTCATTGATTCACCAAGCTAAAAACAACCATTAATGTGATGCTTTCAGCTTTAAGAAAAAATCTTATGTTTTCATACCTCTAAATTCCTAGTCATGACTGCTACCACATCCTGTCACTCCAAAACCTTCCTCAAACCTTTCATAATTTCAACAGTTCTAGACCTAAGTAATCAATCATTGAAGGTTTAAGTCAACAGGAAGGGAAGAAATGATGTAATTATACTTAAAAAAAAATAAGCTTTCTATCATGGGGTGGAATTTTCTATCCTTTCAGGCTACAACACATACAAGCTATTTTTTTCTACAATGTTATTTGAACAATCATAGTCAACATATTTTAGCTTCTTTTACTTGGTGTAATTATTTTTAGACTAATTTGTGCCATTGCATATACCAATAATTTTTTCCTTTTTTTTCCTCTGAGTAGTATTCCACTGTGTGGTTCTATCACCATTTACTGTGCACATATGTGCACACACATGCCTCCATTTCCCCCATTGCCTTTTCCCAAGAGAACAGATGTGCACAAACTGCCTGCATGTGATTTGTCTACAGCAGCTTTATTTGTGCTACCCTGACCTCAAAGCAATCCAGGTGTCCAGAGACTAATAATACTATTGTGTCTTCTCTTTTTGTTTGTTTTGAGACAGGATCTCACTGTGTAGGATTGTCCGACCTGCTATGTAGATCAGGCTACATAACTTAAAGACCCCTTGCCTCTGCCTCCCAAATACTGGGATTAATGATATGCACAACCATATCCAGCTATTGTGCTGGTTTTCCTTTTATTAGTGTTTTGTTTACTTTCATTCAATTTAAATATTAAGAGTTTCTTAAAGGAAGAATACAGTTGTATTTTTCATCATATAAGTTTTGCTTTTAAAATAAGGTAGCTGTCATCTTTTTGGTGTATTTGCTGCACTTTTTCTCTTTTCCTCATGTTTTAGGTTTTATTATAAAAACCCTATAGTTCCCTCTATTATTTTCCAATATTCACAACAGTAGCGTGTTCAATATGCTATACAAGAAGTGTGATAGGCAGCATCTTATTCAATTTTATTTCACATCAAACAAACAGACCTTATTGCATGTTTGCCATTTCAAAGTTGTATAAGTATAAATGTTATGGGCTGGCAAGATGGCTCAGTAGGTAAAGGTGCTTGCCATCAAAGCTGAAGGCCTAAATTTAATCCACAGAATTAAATGGTGGAAGGAGAAAAAACTAATTCCCACAAACTGTCTTCTGACCTCTCCATGTGTGACAGGCTACATGTGCACCCTCAACAAATAAATAATTCAAATGTAATAAAAATAAATTTGAAAAAGAATAAACATTACATTTCACTAGATGATGTGATATATGTTGACATATGACTCTGGCTATTCTCCTTGATTGACAGAGTGACTTTGAACTCCTGCTCCTGACTTTACTTACCTCTGGGGAATATACATGTATATATGTTTTTATGTGTGGTTAGGAACTGCTTTCTAAAATATGTGTATGCATGTGTGTGTACATTTGCGTGTATTCATGTGTACATACGTGTGCATACATATGTGAACAGAAAAGTTTCTAAGATAGGTTTGTGGTGCACTTTATTTGGGTCTAACAGTGCCTTTTCATGAGAGATCTTTCAGAATTATCAACAATCCATGATTACAAATTTGAGAACCATAACCATGAGGCAACCAAGCAATAAGTTAGAGTTAGTAGTTTGGTTTCAAGCCATCAGGAGTGACTTAGCAGAACACACTGCAGAGGAAATAAACTACTGTGAAACTCACTGGGGAAACCAATTATTCTGACTGAGATAGGTCAGCACGTAGGGAAAAGATAAAAATGGTATATTTGCTAACATTACTCTTTTTCTGAAAATTATTTTTTTTAAACAATCCAGAAAGAGATAACTAGTTATAGCTACATTAAAAATACATATTAACCATGTCTGACTCTGGCTGTAGTGCTGCTTTTGATCATTCACTCCTTATTTACTCTTGCACACCAAGGACTAGTGGGGAAGTCACAGTGACAAGTCTCCCTCGGTGAACTCATAGGCTGTGCAGGGCTGCTCTTTCTGTAAGGCTCAGGAACTGCTGTACAGGCTTTGGAGCCAGGTGGATTCTGTTGTCAACTAAGCATCCACCTTCTATGGAAAAACAGCCATACACGGACCATAACAAAAATATGGCAATGGGAGAAAGTTTATTTACAAATCGGACGGTGGCCAAATATGTAACTATGGACCGTAGTTTCCTGCCCAGTTTCTAGTGGGACCAATACAATTTCAAGTCATGTAACAAATGCAAAAGTAGCAAAGGGTACATTAAAAAAATGTAAGAAAATCAACAAAGGCAGGACATGATGGCACACACCTTTAGTCCCAGAACTCAGGAAGCAGATGCAGAGGGTCTCTGTGAATTTGAAATGAGCCTGTTCTACATAGTGAGTTCCAAGACAGCCAGAGCTACACAGAGAGACCCTGTCTCAAAGCAACAACAAATCAACAATAGCTCTGAAAGAATGCATCAATCTAAAGAGTTTTTTTTTTTTTTTTTTTTTTTTCTCTTTTTAATTTTTTGAGACACTGGGTTTTATTGTATAGCCTTGGCTATCCTGGAACTCACACTGTAGACCAGGCTGGCCTCAAACTCACAGAGATCCAGCTGCCTCTGCTTCCCAAGTGCTGGGACTAAAGGTGTGTGCCTCTCCTACCCAGCTGAGTTTATTTTCTTAAATTCAGGAATAACAAAGAATTGTTTTCAAAATGTGCTACTATTATTAAATAACTCAAAATCTCATTCTAAAAATGTTGAGCATAATTAACTATAAAAGAAACACTTTATAATGTACTACTTGCTCATAACTGTTTATTTAGTGAACACTCAGAAGCTTACCTTGAGTGACTGTTTTGAGGACAATTAAGGTTGATAAAAATCTCAGCGATAAATTGGAGCTCTTGAAGAATGCTGCTGTCTTTGGTTTGTTCTCTACAGAATGCTCTAAAGAATTATCCTGAGTTCCTTTAATTGTAACTCCTTTAAATATGTCTTCACCCAATCTCCTCAACGTTGATGTCATAGTTGAATGCTGTTAAAAATATATAGTCATGTGTTTTATATACTTTGATCAAATTTATGCCCTAAAACAAATATTTATGAAAAATAGAGTAGAAAATATGCAAAATTACAATTAAATATAATTAAAATTTTATAAACCAAGTATAGACTTCTTAAAATGTTTTCTTAAGAAATTAAGATCAGACTCAGGAAAGTAGAGGCAGGCAGATCTCTGTGAGTTTGAGGCCAGCCTAGTCTACAAAGCGAGTCCAGGACAGCCAAGGCTACACAGAGAAACCCTGTCTTGAAAGAAAAGCAAAACAAAACAAAAAAAGAAAGGAAGGAAAAGAAATTAAGATCAAGTTAAATCTGGCATATAAACATTAAAAAAAAAAAAAAAGAGTTGGATTCCTTTGAGTGCAATCCAAGGTTTTCCCAGAGGCCCTGATAAAGGGTGACATCGCAGGAAGCTGATGGAACCATGTTGCGCAAGGGAGCACAGGGTATCTCAGGTGCATCACAGACCAAGCACACAGCGGCCTGGGGACGGGTAACCACAGTCTCTTCAAGGAGGAAAAGCCAGGTTCCCAGGAACCAAAATCATAACTCCTTCCAGTCCTGCCCTAGCTCCAGTCAGACCTTACGAAGTCTGCCCTGGGCAAGCACAGGGAAGTGCTTGCTTATCAAATGCCTGACTTCATGTTTTCAGCTTGGTCTCTCTATAAATAACCCCAGTGACTCTGAAAATGTAACTTTCAAAAGGAGAAAGTACTGGGTCGGAATCATGGAAAATTCTTATGGACTAAATTGCAACCAGAAAATGGACAAAACAGAAATAACAGCACAGAATAAGGTATCTCCAAAATAACATGGGATCTGATGGTCTTCCACAGACTCATTATGACTGAGATGAAGGGAAATCATTTCCAGCTACTAAAAAGGAGAATGCTTAAGCTAGGCTTAGAAATAATATAGACGTTACTGTATTGTGTTCTATGTTCCAGGCCTTGTCACTAATTTTCATGATTTTCCACATCTTCATTAGGATTTGTAAACTCATTCTAAACTCAGCATTGATGCTGCATGCGGGTAACACATTTTGAATATATACACCAAAAACTAGAAACAGGTATTCTGAGATTTTTAGGAGTATCAAATGATTGGGCAACGAGTGGTATGAACAGTGTGATCTGATTTAAATGTATTGTATATGATTTCAGTATCCCTGTGGGAAAGTATGTATTTTTAGCATGTAGAATATTTTTAGCATGTAGAATGTTTCTATTTTAAAAAGTCTAAAATAATTAAAGCTTGCATCATTCAAAATATTTTAAATGATCAAGAAAAAAAGGAAATAAGAAGGCATTATAATCCTAAATGTATCTTCACCAACCAACAAAGCTGTGGAATGTGAAACAGGGACTGGAAAGATGGCTTGGCTGTTAAGAGCACCTTCTGCTCTCACACAGGACCAAGGTTTGGTTTCCAACAGCACATGGCAGCTCACAACTGTTTGTAACACCAACTCTAGGGAGTCAACAGCTCTCTTCTGATCTCGGTGGACACTGCATGCACGTGCAGGCAAAGCACTCACACACTTTTTAAAAATTTCTTTTGTTTGTTTGTTTTCAAGACAGGGTTTCTCTGTATAGCTCAGACTGTCCTAGAACTCGTTACATAGACCAGGTTGGCCTCAAACTCAGAGATCCACCTGACTCTGCTACCTGACTGCTGGAATTAAAGGAATGTGCCACTACCACCCAGCTCACATTTTAAAACAAAAATAGATGGTACAAGAGAAACACAAATGTACAGGATATAACATAACTTCAACACACTACCCTCCAAGTATTGACAGTGGAACTAGGCAAAAGTATCAGTGAGGATATAAATATATACATAAAAACACACATACATACACATAAATAAAAATAAAATATTTTAAAAATGAAAGTGCAAATGTGACATATCAGACATATGGGAAAAGGGAAGTGCCTCAGATGGTTAAGTGCTGCTGGACAAGCAAGAACCTGAGGCAGAGCCGCCCACCACATGCAGCACGAGTGGCAGACACCCAGAGGCCTGCCTGACATGTCGCTTGCCTGCAGCCGGAGCAAGTATGTGAAGTGTGTGGTGGGGAGCCACTACAATGTGCAAGCATGTGGTGGGAAGCTGGGAGAGAAAGAGAAGCTGAATCCTTCGAGCACCGTGAAGAGGCAGAACTGGAGACTCGAGGGTGGAAAGGAATGGTCTGATGTGCATAGCTTGCCCTGACACCTGAGGCCATGGTAAAGTCCAAGTTCATGATGCTGAGGGTCATGTCTGGGTCCATGATTGTGCAGCAGGGGTCTGTGTAGATATCAGTGGGTCACATTACCACCAAAAGTCTGGGATGCCACCTGGGACCATGTTCATGTCCAAGGGCTGTGTAGAGCTGGTCCTGCCACTTGCTGGCTTGATGCACTGGGTGAGCTATCTGGGCAGTGCTAAAGAGCTGGCCTTGGTGGTATGGTGCAGGAGAGCTGGCAGGCGGATCTACTCAGCTACCCCCCAGGCCCAGATCCAGAGCTTTAAGGTGGCCCACCCCAACAGCTAGACCATATGAACTGTTGGAGCACATGAAGGGGCCAGTCCTGCAGATCCAAAGCTGTAGAATCTCCATGACATGACACAGGACAATAAAAGAATATCCAAGAGGAGTCCCAGTGAGGATCCAGTATTACTAGTGTAGCAGAAGCCAGAGGCCTCAAACTAGACCACTGACTCAATGAACATTTGCAAGTAAAGATGTATGGATAAAACGATATATTGTGGAATACACTGTGACACATTATACTTCCATGATGAATTTTTTTTTTCTGTAGGGGAAAGGGAGTTTACAAGGGTAGAGGGTGGATATGAGGGGATGGGAAGATGAGTGGGATTTGGATGAATTATGTGAAATTAACAAAAGAATCAATAAAAAGTAAAAACAAAACAACAACAAAAACTGAGACAAACACTCCCATCTGTAACCCCAGCATTGTGGGGGTTGGCAGGAGAGCAGATACAGGCATATCCTTGGGCACCACTAGCCAGCCATTTCAACCAATCAGTAAGCTCCAGGTCCAGTGAGAAACCATGTCTCAAAAAAGTAGGCTTATGAGATGGCTCAGATGGCATTTGTTCTACAAGCCACATGCCCTGACTCTGGAATCTACAGAAAGCTAGAAAAGAACAAATGCCACAAAGTTGTCCTCTTACCTCTGTACACATGCTGTGGCAATCATCCCATACTTATACTTCATGTATCCATACATATGCAATAAAATAAATATTTAAATAAATAAGGTAGAGTGACTGTGGAAAACACCTTGTTCTCTATATCCATACAACCACATGCATGTGCATGAGTACAAACACACACACACCCCACACACAGAGGTGGGGAGGAGATGGAAAAAAGAAGAGGTGGAGAAGGAGAGAGAGAGAGGAAGGGGGAGAGGGAGAGAAGGACAAAGGAGGGAGAGTGGGAGAGATTGAGAGAGGAACGAGAGAGGGAGAGAGAGGGAGAAGGGGAAGAGATAGAGAAGGAGAGAGAAGGAATAGAGCAGAAGAGGAGGAATAGAGCGGAAGAGGGAGAGGGGGGAGATGGAGAGAGAAAGAAAGGGAGGAGAGAGAGGAAGAAAGAGAGGGAGAAGAGGAAGGGGTAGAGATAGAGAGGAAGAGAAAGAAAGGGAAAGAGTAGGGAGATAGGAAGAGAGAGAAGCTGGTCTGGTAGCATATACTGTAATCCCAGCACTCAAGAGGCTGAGGCAGAAAGCCTGTGAGTTAAGGCCAGCCTACGCTACACACTAAAACTGTGTCAACCCAAACACTACCACATACACAAACAGGAAAAATTCTTAAATCAATGATCTAAACTTTCATTTCAGTAATGTAGAATCAAGAGAACAAAATAAACTTATCGTAGAAGAAATTAATTAAATTGAAAAAAAAATAGAAAGTCAGAAAAACAAAAAAATATTTAGAGCAGGGCATGGAGGTGCATGCCTAATTCCAGCACTCAGAGGCAGAGACAGGTGGATCTCTGTGAGTTTGAGGCCAGCCTGATCTACAAAGCAAATCCAGGACAGTCAGGGCTACACAGAGAAACCCTGTCTCAAAAAACAAAAAATAACAACAACAAAAACAAACAAAATGTTTAGGAAAAACAGCTTAAGTAAAGATTTAAAAGCCTGCAGATTTTCCATGCTGATGTGTAACGGCGGTACTATTCTGGACACTAAGGCACATCAGGGAGGCCACTGTGAAAACACACTGTCCCCCTACAGCATCTGATTTCAGATAGCCAGTTATGTTGTACCTGTTTTCATTTTCTTTATAGTCCAAATACTAGATATATAAGCTTATCAATGAGACAAAATGGTTCATTTCCTCAAAAAGCACAAACTTCCAGAAGTTTAAAAACAAATTCAGAACAGCCTTGTAACTATGAGGGAATTTGATGGGGCTGATGAGACTGTCAACAGGTAAAGGCCCCTGCTGTCAAATTTGCCAACCAGAGATTTATCTTTAGCACCTAAATGGTAGCTGTTGTCCTCTGACCTCCATATGGCACAAAGGAACATGGGTGTACAAACACTTGCATGGACACACACATGGGCACATATACACACACACACAAGTCATATTTTTTTAAATTGAATCCATAATTTAAAACTTTCCTCAAAATAAATCTCAGAACTAGAGAGATGGCTTGGCGCTTGAGAGCACTTACTGGTCTTGCAGAGGGCCGGATTCACTTCCCAACACCCACATAATAACTCACAGCCCTCTGTAATTGCAGTTCCAGGTTATCCAATGTTCGTCTCTTTGCCTCTGTGGACACTTCATGTATATGGTGCATTTACACACACACAGGCAAACACTCATATAAAACGAAGAAAGAAAATATAAAAAGAGGAGCCAGGCGGTGGTGGTGCACACCTTTAATCTCAGCACTCTGGAGGCAGAGGCAGATGGACCTTTGTGAGTTTGAAGCTAGCCTGGTCTGCATAGTGAGTTCCAGGACAGCCAGGGATATACAGAGAAACACTGTCTCAAAAAAATGAAAAATAAAAAGAAGAAAATCTCTAAGATTTTCCTGATTCTAAGATAGAATTCCTACTATCTACCTAATAACCTCTAAGAAATATAAAGGATGAAATTACTTCAATTTTTGTAAATCAAATAGACAAAGTTAAAAACACAAAGAAACCCTAATATTTATTAATTAAATGTCTACATTCTATTACCATAAACATATAAACAACAAAATTTAACATATAAAAATCAGTCAAAATGTAAATAGTTGAAAATCTAAAAAGAGGGTGCACATGAATTTTGGGCAAAACTTATGCGACACTGATACAAAAACAAAGCTGTGAGTGAAAAGATGTCTATGTTCCTATGTTGAAAAGACTGAGCACGTGAAACTGGTATGAAAGCTGAATACAATTCCTCTCAAACCTTAGAGCAATATTTTCTCAAACAAAGAGAACAAAGTACATGTATGTACGCGCGTGCGCTCACACACACACTTTATTTTTCTGTGAAACATACCCAAAAGAACTGACACTAAATAGAGTCTGCCAGAAGATAGAAGCCAATGAGTCAGTACCTGTGTGCCAGAATCCAGCAGCCTTAGAGACCAATAGATAAACTTTACATAAGGCTCATGCAGTTTAGCGTTCACAAGTGGCATCCACTGGAGCTGCTCTGTCATCATAGGCAAAAGCTGAAGGTGGTGGGAAACAGAAGCACAGTGTTCTTAGATAGCTGAAACCAACTGCCAGAATTTTCCAAAGGCAAAATGAATGATCGTTAGGATAGGTCTATCAATTTCTACAAAGGAGCCAGTTGAAATTTCTGTAATGCTGGTGCACTGAGTATCCAACATATTCTTCTGACTCTTCTTTCCAGTTCATAGACTCAATGTGCTGGACATGCCTGGAAACCCTGGAAACCCAGTTTCAAAGACACCTGACTGACAATGGGATACTACTCAGTAATTAAAAACAAGGAAATCAAGAAATTTGCAGGCAAATGGTGGGATCTCGAAAAGATCATCCTGAATGAGGTATCCCAGAAACAGAAAGAAACACATGGTATATACTCACTTTTAAGTGGATACTAGACATATAATATAGGATAAACCCACAAGAATCTGAACACTTAAAAAAGGCGAGCTAATTTCATGAGTTCCTCGTTTTTTATTGCTGAGTAGTATTCCATTGTGTAAAAATACCACAATTTCTGTATCCATTCCTCCATTGAGGGACATCTGGGTTGTTTCCAGGTTCTGGCTTTTACAAATAAAGCTGTTACAAACATGGTTGAGCAAATGTCCTTGTTGTGTACTTGAGCTTCTTTTGGGTATATGCCTAGGAGTGGTATGTCTGGATCTTGAGGAAGCACTATTCCTAACTGTCTGAGAAAGTGCCAGATTGATTTCCAGAATGGCTGTATAAGTTTACATTCCCACCAGCAGTGGAAGAGGGTTCCCCTTTCTCCACAACCTCTCCAGCATGTGTTGTCACTTGAGTTATTCATTTTAGCCATTCTGATGGGTGTAAGGTGAAATCTCAGGATCATTTTGATTTGCATCTCCCTGATGTCTAAGGATGTTGAGCATCTCTTTAAGTGTTTCTCTCCCATTCTATATTCCTCTACAGAGAATTCTCTGCTTAGCTCCGTACCCCATTTTTTAATTGGATTACTTGATTTATTGCCTTTTAACTTCCTTAGTTCTTTATATATGATGGATATCAGCCTTCTGTCAGATATAGGGTTGGTGAAGACCCTTTCCCAGTCTATACACTGTTGTTTTGTTCTGATGACAGTGTCTTTTGCTTTACAGAAGCTTTTCCGTTTCATGAGGTCCCATTTATTGATTGTTGCTCTTAGAGCCTGTGCTATTGGTGTTCTGTTCAGGAAGTTGTCTCCTGTGCCAATGAGTTCTAGGCTCTTCCCCACTTTTTCTTCTAACTGATTTAGAGTATTTGGAAATTTGCAGGCAAATGGTGGGATCTAGAAAAGATCATTTTGAGTGAGGTATCCCAGAAGGAGAAAAACACACATGGTATATACTCACTCATATAGTCCTATAAGATATGATAAACATAATGAAATCTATATACCTAAAGAAGATAAACAAGAAAGAGGACCTGGGGTAAGAGGAGCAATCCTCACTTAGAAAGACAAATGGGAGGTGCATTGAACGTAGGAGAAAACAAGTAACAGGACAAGAGCCTACCACAGAGGGCCCCTGAAAGACTCTACCTAGCAGTGTATCAAAGCAGATACTAAGACTCACAACTGTTAGTATAATGTTCTTTTAAAATGTATATGCCTTACCCTTGTTAATTCAAATGCTGATTTCCCCACCCCCAACTCTCTGGTTTTAATCCAGATATTGCATTGTGATACTCATTCTAAGCATCCTGTCTCAACTCCTGTGTAAACAGGACAAAATAAAGCAACTAGATACAATGGGAGGAGCAAGAGGACAGGAAAGAGGGGAGGAGCCAGAAGGCAGGAGATGAGGAAAAGGGGCGAGAGGAACGCAAGGAGAGCAGAGCGCCAGGAGAGCAGAGCACGAGGAAAGCAGAGCAGGAGGAGAGAGCTTGGAGGACTTGGAGCATGAACCAGACCTTTTTTCACAAAAAGCAAGTATAATGTGGGAAATCTAAATCTAAACTGAGGGCTTGGAGGTTTAGGAGGGAGTAAATATTGCCCAGCATTGTTTTCTAGGTTAACTAAAACCCAGTCTCTGTGTGGTGATTTGGTTTTACAGCTGTTGAGGATTAACAGCAGCGTTACTAGAAGATAAGCCCAAAGTAAATATCAATAATCCTACAACACACAACCAAACCTTCAGCAGAGTGCAGAGAATCATATGAAAGAAGGGGGAGTTAGTATGGCATGGAAAGGATAGGAGCTCCACAAGGACCAAATATATTTGGGCACAGGGGTCTTTTCTGAAACTGACATTCCACCAAGGACCATGTATGGATACAACCTAGATGAACCTGGATGAACCTCTGCTCGGATGTAGCCTGTGATAGCTCAGTAACCAACTGGCTTCCCATAGTAAGGGGAACAGGGACTATTTCTGATAGGAACTCAATGGCAGGCTCTTTGACCTCCCAACACCCCCCCAAGGGAGGAGCAGTCCTGCTAGGCCACAGAGGAGGACTTTGTAGCCAGTCCTGAAGATACCTGATAAAACAGGGTCAGATGAAAGGGGAGGAGGTCTTCTCCAAGTAGTAGACTTGGAAAGGGGCAGGGAGGAGATAAGGGAGGGAGAGTGAGATTGGGAGGGAATGAAGGAGGGGGATTAAAAAAAAAAAGAAAAAAAGAAAGTTAAGCAAATACTCAAAGAAAAAAAAAAAGGCAAGCTAGGAGGACCCTAGGTAAGATAATCATCACTCAGAAAGGCAAATGGGACAGACATTGGAAGAAGGAGAAAACAAGAAACAGGACAGGAGCCTTCCACGGAGGGCCTCTGAAAGACTCTACCCAGCAGTGTATAAAAGCATATAATGAGACTCATAAATAAACTTTGGGCAGAGTGCAAGGAATCTTAGGAAAGAAGGGGGAGATAGTAAGACGTGGAAAGGACAGGAGCTCCACAAGGAGAGCAGCAGAACCAAAATATCTGGGCACAGGGTTTTTTTCTGAGACTGATACTCCAACCAAGGACCATTCATGGATATAACCTAGAACCCCTGCTCAGATGTAGTCCATGGCAACTCAGTAATCAAGTGGGTTCCCTAGTAAAGGGAACAGGGACTATCTCTGACATGAACTCAGTGGCTAGCTCTTTGACCGCCACCCCTGGATGGGGAAGCAGCCTTTCTAGGTCACAGGAAAACAACAATACAGCCCGTTCAGATGAGACCGGATAAACTAAGGTTATATGGAAGAGGAGGAGGACCTCCCCTATCCGTGGACTTGGAGAGGGGCATACGAGGAGATGAGGGAGGGATGGTGGGATTGGGAGGGGAGGAGAAAGGGGGCTACAGCTGGGATAAAGAGTGAATAAACTATAATCAATATAAAAAATAAAAATTAAAAAAGACACCTGACTGGCAATTTTAATTCCCCTTTGTCATGTACCAAAACATACTGACAAGTTCCAAAGATCAGAATGCAAGCATTTTTAATTTATTCAAAATCCTGGACTATACTTAATAATCATGGAATTATTACTGAAAATAACAGGCAAACCAAAAATGTCCTTTCCTCAAAGTTTTTATATTAAGTGTCAATCTCTAAAGATCTTTCATACTAGTTATAAATCCTGAGCACCAATATTGACATCAGGAAATATTTCCCTTTGATAATAAAAAAAAGCAAAGGTTTTACCCTTAAACCCAAATAGAACTAGCAAAATAGAATTATCCCAATAGTCTTCAAATCTAAGACTGTATGCAGGAAGAACTATTCACATCACTGAATAACACCTTATGCATTTGGCACACATACGCATATGTAGGCAAAACTTGCATACACATAAAACAAACCTTTCAAGTTTAGTATGAATTAATACTGAGGTCTGAAAAAATCAAGTTAGAAGCTGTTGGTATAGGGGCAGGAGATATGGCTCACAGGTTAAGAACACTGTCTGGTCTTCCAGAGGTAGGTCCTAAGTTCAATTCCCAGAAACCAAATGATGGCTCACAACCATCTATACTGAGATCTAATTCTCTTTTCTGGAATGCAGGTGTACATGGAGATAAAGCACTCACATACATGAAGAAAGGCAAGAAAGAAAGAAAGAAAGAAAGAGAGAGAGAGAGAGAAAGAAAGAAAGAAAGAAAGAAAGAAAGAGAGAAAGAGAAAGAAAGAAAGAAAGAAAGAAAGAAAGAAAGAAAGAAAGAAAGAAAGAAAGAAGGAAAGAAAGAAAGAAGGAAAGAAGGGAGGAAGAAAGAAAGAAAAAGGAAGGAAGGAAGGAAGGAAGGAAGGAAGGAAGGAAGGAAGGAAGGAAGGGAGGGAAAGGAAAAAAGAAGGAAAGAAAGAAAGGAAAGAAGGAAGGAAGGAAAGAAGAAAAAGAAAAAAGAAAAAATCTTTAAAAAATATTGGTATAGACAATTTTCTGACAAAAATGCTTCTAAGCCCGATATAGAAGCACATATTTATAATCCCAGAAACATGGAGTAGAAAATCCTAGGTTTAACGTCATCCTAAACTACAGTTTAAGAATAGCCTAGGCTACATACTGAGACCCTGCCTCACAAAACAAAAATACTTCTAACGTTTTCCACTTATAAGCATGTCAGAAGTTGGGTACAGTTCCCAGCACCATATGGTAGCGCACAACCATCTGTAACTCTCGTTCTAGAGGATCCAAAGCAGGCTCTGACTTCTGCAGCACCGCACACACACATGCTATATATACAAACATGCAGGCAAAATACTGTCCCATGAATAAAATATATGAATCTAATTTAAAATATAAAAATGCTGGGCCAGCGAGATGGCTTAGTGGGTAAAGGTGCTTGCTACCAACCCTGGGGAACTAGTTCCATTCTTGGGATGCACACAGTGAAAGGAGATTAGATTTCTGAAAGTTGTTCTCTGACCTCTATGCATGTGTGGTGCTAAACATGTGCTGCCACATGTTTATGAAATTAAATAAATAGATGTGACTTTCTAGAAATGAAATAAATAACAATGCCAGAAGCTTTTTCTTTCTTAATCATCAATTATTAAAATTTAAAAAATAAAGTTTGGAGGCTGGAGAAACAGTTCAATGGTTAAAAGCACCTACTGCTTTCACAAAGGACTCAGGTTCGGTTGGGAGCACTAACACTGCTCACAACCTCCTGTGAGTGCAATTCCAGGACCCAACGTCCTCTCTGGCCTCCCAGGCACCAGGAACACTCGTGGCACTTGCATGCACACAAGTAAAACACAAACAGATAAAGTAAAAATAAGTAAATCTTAAAAACCAACCTTCACACATTTCTCTTGAATGTCACTTCTCTGAGGAGGTTTGAGTGATGGCTTTTCACCATCCACACCAGGTTCCTCCAGCTCCACTTTGCTAAGATGGTGGTCTGATATCCAGTCCATGAAAACAACTAACAGTTCATACACTTGTCCATTGAGTGTCATCTATTGAGCAAATATTAAATCAAACATTTACTTCAGTTGAAAACCCCAAAAAACTAGAACTTAAATTTGGTGAGTATAGAATAATTTGAGGATTACAGAATAAATACATTTACATAAGTGTTTAGGTGCTTACCTCTGCAAAAATAAATTCCAAATCAAATATTCTCAATTCATATTAAAAACATAAAATATGTGCTTAGATAAGACAAGTAAATTCATCATAATAAGGAAAATAAAAGTATACCTTATTGCTATTATAAAGAGTTTTCTATGGCCCTAGACTATAACTCCATCCCAGCACTAGAAAAGATGAAGTAAGAAGATAATAAGTTCAAGGTGAGACCCTGTCTGAAAACCAACAAAAAATGTTCTTAAATAATTGTCACTAAAATTATTTGTTTGATAACACAAAAATATAAAAAGTGACAGGCAGATGTAGTAGAGCACACCTATAAACCCAGCACTTGGGGAGACAGAAGCAGTAGAATCTCTTCAAGTTTGAGGCCATCCTGGTCTACAAAGTGTGTCCAGGACAGCCAAGGCTACACAGAGAAACTCTGTCTCAAAAAAACCAAAAACCAAAAACCAAAGGGGGGGGGCTTTAATTCAACAGCATGAACCACCCTATCTAAAAAAGCCTAACAATACAGACTTAATGAATCCAAAAACTAAAGAATTTCTATTGTGGGATTTCATATTTTCTTCCTACAAAACTTACTTTCTTTGTAATAATAACTGGATATAAACATGATGTGCATTTTTTTTCTGGAAATCCTATTATCTGGGAGCCTACCTAAACAGGAGAAAAAAAGAGTAAGACAAAGGTCTGGGGATATAACTCAATTGTAGAACATTTGCCTAGCATGTGTGAGTTCTGTGCTTGGTCCCACAAAAAAATAAAAATTTCATTAAAACCCAAGCAGCTGGGCAAACCTGTGAGGAATTTCCTTGAGTGGGTCGTTTGAGATTGGAAGACCCACCCTAAGTCTGGGCCTTCTAGTGGCAGCTAAAACAAAAGGACCTGAAAGAAGGAAGCTTTTGCTTTTTGCCTGCTTGCACTCACTCTCTTGGCAAGATCCTGCTGCTGAGGCATTCCTTCGCTGGTATTAAGAGCTGATTTTTAGGGACCCCAGTGTAGACTGAAGACCAGCAGCTCTCTAGTTCTCAACACAAGACGGGGACTGCTGTTTCATGGACAGAACAACTATCAGACTCTCAGCCTTTCTACCAGGAGACAGCCACTTGAATATCCATCCGCTTGTGTGTGTGTATGCATATGCATGTGTGTGTGTGTGTGTGTGTGTGTGTGTGTATGTATATATACATATATACACATATACAGCCTATCAGTTCTGTTGCTTTAGAGAACCCTTAGAGTCACCCTCAGTTTACAGAGCAAATTCAATGTCTGCCTAGCCTACATGAGATCCTACCTCAAAAAATAAAAACAAAAACAAAGCAACAAAAAATGGAATCCTTCCTGCCACATCCCAGAGACAAACGTGGATCCTACTCTAAGAACTCCTTCAGAGTCACCTAACAAATGGTCTGTCCTATCTTTTACTGTTTTCACTCAGCAACTGTCAACTATGAGCCCTGGCTTTACACAGAAACTGCTCTACTCTCTGAACAGATCTTGTAGCATTTCTACAAGCAACAAGAGTTCCAATGAACTTTGTTTCAGAATAACTTGGTAGATGTCTTTGTCCTAATAAAATTCCCAAACTTTGCTTTAATCTCCGGTTATATGAGGCTGACCTGTCTTGGAGTACAATCTTATTATTTCCAAATGAAAGTTCATGTCTCTATGTTTTTGTTTTCCCAGTTTTCATGTGTGTGGTATGAATGTGTATACATGTTTTTTACATGCAGTGGATGAATATGCATATGAAGGTCCAAGGTTGTTATGATGGCTCTTATTCTAGATAGCTCTTACACAATATTCACTGTGTTAAGGTCTCTTACCAAACCCAGAGCTCATAGACATGCTGGTCTTCTTAGACAGCTTGCTCTGGGGAACCCTGTGTGGTTGGCTAAACTTATGCAGCATTTTAGGCTTGGTTTAGAGGATTGGAGTTTCAGAGGATCAGAACTCTGATCCTTGTGTGAATGTCTTCAGACACTTCCTTCTCTCTCCAGCTTGACAATTATATTTTTTTTGCTTGACAACTGTACCTTCAAAATTATACCTTCAATATGCAATTCTGGAGCTGGAGAGATGGCTGAGAGGTTAAGAACACTGGCTGTTCTTCCAAAGGCCCTGAGTTCAATTCCCAGCAACCACATGGTGGCTCACAACCATCTATAATGAGATCTGATGCTCTCTTCTGGCATACAGGCACACAGGCAGGCAGAACACTATATACATAATAAATAAATAAATAAATCATTTTAAAATATATAATTCTGGTCAATTTAATTCACTGTTCTTCATAATAATTCATTATTAAATAGGAAAGTATGCTAGATTTATTTTTTTTTAAACATGTAAAGAAAGGGCTGGGATGCAGCTCAATTGGACATTTGTCTTTTCAGGAGGTGAAGGCAGGAAGATCACAAGTTTAAGGTCATTTTCAGCTACAGAGTGAGCTTGAAGTCACACTAGGCTACATGTGACCCTGTTGCAAAATAAATAAAATAAAACATACGAAGTGAAGCCAGGTGCAGGGATTCATCCCTGCGATACCAACATGATACCAATATGAGGTGAAGGACTGATGTAAATTGCAGCTAAAACTGGGCTAAATAGTGAGCTCCTGCCTCAAAGGGAGAAGACAAAGACATAGAAAAATGTGATGTAATAAGTATACAGCAGTATACAGTCACAAGGACAAAAATCAGACAACTGAAAACAAATGGTGAATAAGTACCATGTTTTTTTTTAAAGAAGAATATTTATTGTGCGTGTATAATGCATGCATGTATGATTGAATGTATGCTTGTGCAGAGGTCAGAGAACAGAGACTTTGGGAAGTCAGTTCTCTCCATCTACAGTGGGTACTGGGAATCACTCAAGATGTCAGTCTCATCTGGCAGGAACATTTGCCTACTGAGCCATCTCATTGCCCTGCAAGAATACTTTTAAACCTCATTTTCTTTCTTCAACTAGAAACTAACTACCTTTAGATGAAACCTCGATAATCCTGAGCCCCTGGATATATTTTTGACTGGGTTTTTTTTTTTTTTAATGTATATAAGTGTTTAACCTGCATCTATATCTACAAACCATGTGTGTTTGTAGATGTCTTCAGAGGCCAGAAAGCACTGGATTCCCTGAAACTGGAATTTCAGAAAGTTGAAAATTGAACCCAAGTCCTCTGGAAGGGTAGCCAGTGCTCTTAACCACTGAGCCATCTCTCTAAGTCAGTACCTGGGTATAAAACGTCTACCTTTTTCCAATTTACATAAAGAACTACAAAATATATCAAAACACAGTCCATGGTAAATACTATCATACATGTATTATAAGGTTCAAGTTTTGAAAAAGATTAATTACTAAATGTTGGCAAGTTTGTTAAGTAAATAGAACTTTCATACATTGCTAGAATTATAAAATGGTACAATCGCTTTAGAAAATTGACAGTTTTAAAAAATACACATCTACCTTGTAACTTAGAAATTCTGGTTCTAGTAAATAGTGAAGAATAAAAACATGTCCACAAAATTCTTTTTTGTTAGCTTTGGTGTTAGCTTTTTATCAACAATAGAGTAGACATCAATGAACCATCAAGAAAATGCCACAGACTTGCCTACAGGCAATCTGATAAGGAAAACCCCCTATTAAGATTCCCTTTTCCAGATGACTCTAACTTGTGTAAAGCTGACAAAAACAAAAACAAAAAAAACCTAACAGCCCACAAAACAGGGAGCCAAATGACCATGGCTGAAATCACTGAAACTGTGAACTAAAATCTGTTGCTAAAAAGCTAACAGAGCCAGGGTGTGGCTTTGATAAGAAAATAAATTAACAACAAGTAACCTTAGAGGGCTCTGTGGATTATCTACAGTGCTGAATGATGTTTTGCTTTTGGAGGAAAAAAATTATATATATATATATTTACACAGATATTTCTCTGTAGAATAATTAAGATTAATTCTTTCAAAACAAAAAATATAGTTTGCTTAAAATAGAAAAATGATTAAAGGATAAAAACATTTCTTGGCTCTTCATTAGAGGAATTTTAATCATATCATACCTTGAAAGGTTTTGAAACTGGTGCTTTTTCTTGTTTTAAACTTTTCATTTCATGAGCAGCATGGGAATATCCTTTCAGTCTCTGTACTGTCATAAACTCATACTTCCTCTGCAACAGCAGATAGTCATGGAGTAAGGAGCAATCTTTTTTATGCTTTAAATTACTTTTTTATTATTTGATTATTTTTATTTTTATTAATTACATTTTATTCACTTTGTATTCCCCCTGTACCTCCCTCCATCCTCCCCTTCCAATCCTACCCTCCCTCTTCCCCACCCGTGTCCCTCTCCCAGTCCACTGATAAGGGAGGTCCTCCTCCCCTTCCCTCTGATCCTAGTCTATCAGGTCTCATCAGGAGTGGCTGCATTGTCTTCTTCTGTGGCCTGGTAAGGCTGCTCTCCCCACAGGGGGAGATGATCAAAGAGCAGGCCAATCAGTTCATGTCAGAGACAGTCCCTGTCCCCATTACTATGGAACCCACTTGGACACTGAACTGTCATGGGCTACCTCTGTGCAGAGGTTCCAGGCCATCTCCATGAGTGGTCCTTGGCTGGACCCCTGTACCCAGACTTTTTGGATCTGTTGCTTGACTTGTGGAGCTCCTGTCCTCTCCAGGACTTACCATCTCCCACTTCTTTCATAGGATTCCCTGCACTCTACCCAATGTTTGGCTACGAGTCTCAACATCTGCCTCGATACCCTGCAGGGTAGAGCCTTTCAGAGGCCCTCTGTGGTAGGCTCCTGTCTTGTTCCCTGTTTTCTCCCTCTTGCAATGTCCATCCTCTTTGCCTTTCTGAATGGGGATTGAGCATCTTAGCCAGAGTCCTCCTTCCTGATTAGCTTCCAATCTTATAAAAAGCAAGCAAACCATTTAAAATTCAAGAAGGGCTTGGAGAGATGGCTCTGTCGTTAAGAGCTCTGGTTGCTCTTCCAGAAGCCCTGAGTTCAGTGCACAGCACCCATATGTAACCCCACTTTAACTCCAGTTCCAGGGGATCCAATGCCCTCTTCTGAGGGCACCAGGCATGCATGTGGTACACAGACATACATGCAGTCAAAACACTTATACACATAAAATAATTAATTAATTTAAAAATCATGACAAGGACTAGAGAGGTGCCTCTGCAGTAAAGAAAACGCACTCCTCTTCCAGAGAAACAGACATCAGCTGGATAGCACACAGCAACCTATAATTCCAGTTCCAGGGGCTCCAATACACTCTTCTGGACTCTGAGCAACTGCGCACATAGGGCATACACTCATACAGATACACACACACGTACTAAAAAAAAAAAAAAAAAATTATAAAAACAAAAACTAATGAGAGAAAAGCAGGCAACTTACCTGTAAGTTATCTAAACGAGCTTGAACCCTTTTAGCCTGAACCTCCATCTTCCTGTTTTCTTCACTTACTTCATTTAGCTAAGGAAAGGAAAACTTACAAATTTCAATTAAAATTTTAAACTATTTTAATACTAAGGATTTCTCAATGTACGATCTAATCTTACCAGATACCTAACAAAACAGCCAAAAATTCCCATTTCACTCTAAAACACTAACAGAATCTAGGAAACTTTATATTTTATGAAAAATTTGTCAAACTCATATGAAGGCTAGTGTTGACTGTCAATAAGACAGAGTCTGTAATTGTTCACAAGGCAGGTTCATAAGGAATTAAATTAGGTTAGGTTTCTGGCACACCTCAGATGGATTATCTTGATTAATTAAGATAATCCCACTTAATTAAGTGATGTTGGAAGACCTACCCTAAAACAGGGTGGCGCTATCTGAGAGCTTGGGTTCTAGTCTGCATAAAAAGAGAAAGTTGATTCATTCTCAAATTACAAAGATTTTTCTTATGCTTGCTTTAAAAATAAAATTATGAGCATGGGTGTTTCGCCTGCATGCATGTCTGTGCACACATACATGCAGTGCTTGTGGAGGCCAGAACAGGGCATCCAATCCCCTAGAACTGGAGCTGCGGACACATGTGAGCTGCCATGTGGGTGCTGGGAGATGAACCCTGTCCTCTGGAAGAGTAGTCAGGGCTCATAACAACTGAGTCATCTCTCTAATCCCTGTGCTGGCTGTTAATCTAGTAAAGCTCTTTCAGTTTTAATTTTTTTCAGATTGCCAAATAAATCAGCTAGATGAAAAAGATGAAGTAAGGGTGGTGGCGGCACATGCCTTTAATTCTAGCACTTGGGAGGCAAAGGCAGATAGACCTTTGTGAGTTCAAGGCCAGCCTGGTCTACAGGGTGATTTCAAGGACAGTCAAAACTACACTGAGAAATGCTGTTTTGAGAAAACAAAAACAAAAGAAAGAAAAGGAATAAAGAAAAGAAAAGAAAAAAAGGAACCCATGAGCAAAATCCAGATACTTGCCACCTCAGTGTAAAAAAGATGAAACAAGAATGTAAATATGTCTACAAGAATCTTATAATAAAGCTAACAAATGCAATTGATTCTTTCTAGCTGAAATGTTTTAAGCCTCACTTAAATTTCTTAAATATAATCTTAACATCTAATACATATGGAATAGGTCTTACCTGTTTTCTTAAGTTATCATTCAGCTCTCTTAGGGTATCAAAGGAGGACTTCATTCTCTTGCTCTCTTTATTCTTTTCCTTCAGAGCTTCCGTTAAGTGTTCAACTTCTGTACTGTGTTGCTAGAAGAGAGGGGAATCTGATCTAAACAACAGCTAAGAGTCCCATATTAATGAGCACTAACATGACTAAGGCTATAAGTTAAATTACCACAAAAAATAATAAAATCAAATGCTATTAATCATAAATTAATTTAAAAAACTGAAATTCTTCCATCACAAAAACTCTAATCAATGTATTTAAGTATAGGTGAAATGTATTTAAGCATAGGTAACATATATGTGTGTGTGTGTAAACATATATATATATATATATATATACACACACACACATATGAGCAACTTTAAGTGAAAGGCTTGTAAAATAAACAACTTAAGGCAATAAAGAAATAAAGAATATATCAGAGGATGAAAAGATCTCCCATGCTCATGGATAAGTAGGTTAAATATTGTGAAAATGGCCATCCTACCAAGAGCAATCTAAAGATTAAATGCAGTTACCACCAAAATTCCAACACAATTCTTCACAGAAATTGAAGGAAAAAAAGTCATCTTCATATGAAAACACACACACAAATAAAACAGAATAACTAAAACAATTTTTGAATAATAAAGAAAACTGCTGGAGGCATCATCAAACCTGACTTCAAGTTATATTATAAAGCTATAATAAACACAACACAGTGATAGCATTAAAAAAAAAACAAAACAAAACACACTGATCAATGTACTAGAATCGAAGACCCAGACAGAAGTCCATGTACCTATTGGTACCTGATTTCTTAACAAAAATACACAATGGAAAAAAAAAGACAGCATCTTCAACAAATGTTGGTCAAATTATACAGCTACATGTAAAATGAAAATAGAGCTGTACAAAACTCAATTCCAAATGAATCAAGAACTTCACCATATAGCCAGATAAACTGAATCTGATAAAAGAAAAAGTGGGGAATAATCTTGAACTCATGGGCACAAGAAAAACTTCCTGATCAGGACAAAGACAACACACACACTAAGTACAACAATTAACCAACAGGACCTCATGAAACTGCAAAGCTTTTATGAACAAAACAACAAAGCAAAAGACACCAGCATTTGGACAAACTGGCAGGCTACAGAATGGGAAAATGAATCATTATTTAGTCATCTGATAGAAAACTAATATTTTTTTTAAAAACTGGACATCATGACCCAATTAAAAATGGAGTACAGGAAAAACAGTGTTTTCAAAAGATGAAGGACAAAGTAATGCTCAACAACCTTTTTTTTTTTTTTTTTTTTTTTTTTTTTTTAAGACACAGTTTCTCTGCTTTAGCCCTAGCTGTCCTGGATTTGCTTTGTAGACCAGGCTTGCCTTGAACTCACAGAGATCGCCTGCCTCTGCCTCCCTGAGTGCTGGAATTACAGGCATATGCCACCACATGTGACTAATGTTCAACATTCTTAGTAATCAACGAAATGCAAATAGAAACTACTTTGAGATTCATCTTACACAAGTCAGAACTGACAAGATCAATAAAACGAATAGCTCATGCAGGTTAGGATGTGATATAAAGGAGCCATTTACCCACTCAATGATGGTCATTGCTGCTCTATTCTAATAGTGTAGATGACCATCAGCAGATGAATGGCTAATGAAAATGTAGTGCATTTACATACTTATTTCTCAGCTGTTAAAGGAAAGTGAAATTCACAGGAAAATTGATAGAGCCAGAAAAATCATTGAGTAAGGTAACCCAGACCCAAAAAGACAAATATGGTATGTATTCTCTTATATGTGGATGATTGCTTCAGTAGGCAATGTTACAATCTGTATAACCACAGAGTTAGTTAAGAGACTAAGGGGAAGGAAAATAACTCCCAAGGAAGGGGAAACAGACTATAGTTAAGGAGAGACAGGAATGGGGGGGGGGGGTTGAAATGAGAGGAATAAATGGAGAGAGTGAGGGAAGGAAAGGGTAAGGAAGGGGACACAGAGAGACAGCTAACACTAAGGGCCATTTGAGGGGTCATATGAAAACCTACTACTATAGAAGCTTCTTTAAAAAAAATATATATATGAATAAAAATAATATATATTTATTTTTATTCATATATATGAATAAATTGTATAAATTATTAATATATATTCATATATATGTGAATAAAAATTAAAAAGCCTCTTTCAAATATATATATATATATATGAATAAAATCACCAGATAACAAAGAAACAATGCCCCAATGAGATATCTCTCACCAGCAAGTGAAACCGCCAGTGCCAAAAATTGTTTTTGCACCTATTGAGTTGTTGGCTAAAGAGGCCCTGAAACAACTCAGATGATTGTTCTCCACAAAGTGATGGTAAGATTCTATTGCTGACAACACCTACAAATCCCACTGAACACAGAGAAGTTGAGCTGGTACCTAACTAGAACTTTCACCCTACTGAGTAGTCTTCCTGGTACTCCTTTGCATGCTACCAGGAGGGAAAGGTAAACACAAACCCTTCAATCCACAAAGGTGATCTACCTGCATGATACATTAACTCAATACAAAAGTTGTGGGAGAAACCAAACACTATCTGATTGAACTTAAGGTCTACTCTAAGAAGGGCAACTCATGCCTGACACTGCTCAGATGGCCAAGAACCTGATACTAGATAGGCCATGGACCTTGTGGAAAACTGAAAATTATTGTTCTGCTAAAGAGACATAGCGATAAAATAACTCCTAATGACATTCTGCTATACTCATAGATCAGGGTCTTGCTCAGCCATCCTTAGAGAAGCTTCCTCCTGCAGGAGATAGCAACTAATGAGCGCCACAACTAGGCAATATGCTAAGAGTGAGAGACCTTGGAACAGTCATTCCTAAATAGGATATCTTAATCAAACCTTTCACTATGCTGAAGAGGAGGTACAAAGATCATAACAGCCAGTGGGGATGGAAAACACCAAGAAAACGGTGCCTTCCAGACACAAGATTGCCACACAAATGAACTTTACAGAGTCCGTGACAGCATGTACAGGGCCTGCATAGGTCCAAACCAGATGGGGTCCCAACACTGAGAGGATAAGTGGACACAAGCACCAATCCTTAATCCAGAAGCTATCTTCAATTGTCAACCAGCCAAAAAGAAAAAAAATGGTTTCCTCCAGTGGAGTCTCACTACATGTACAAACCACACTTAGAAGCAGGCTCCAGGCTCAGCAGCACACAAAACAAACTCAATGCTATTTCTAGATTTTTTTGTTGTTGTTGTTTCATTTTGTCTCATAATACTTTGCTTGGACATTTTTTACTTATATATTTTCATTTCTGGTTTGTGGTTTTGTTTTTATGGGTTTTGTGTGTGTGCATGTGTATTTGTGTGTGTGTGTGTGTGTGTGTGTGTGTGCATGTGTGTGTGCTTTTTCTTTGCTTTCTGTTTTCTTTTGTATGCCTGTTATTTACAAAAGAGAGAAAGAAAAAAGGCATAGAGTTGGATAAGTGGGGAGGTAGGAAGGATCTGTGAGAGGAGGGAAGGGAAACAGTGATCAGAATATATTGTATGAAAAAATATTTCTGATAAAAAAGAAAAGAAGGTGCAAACAGGAAAAAGGTGAAATAAACAAATATGGCAAAATGGTAATAATGAAGCTAAGAGGAAGGAACATTACTCTGTAATCAAAGTATAATTACCTCCTTTAGAATTTGGAATCTTGTCAGAACCTCTTCTTCAACACCTTTAATTTTACTCAAGGCAGTTTCATGTTTGAAAAGCAGCTGTTCTCGTTCTGCTAAAAACCGTTCCCGTTTTTTAAGTTCTTCAGCAAATTTCTGCTGTGCTGAAGTTTCACTCTATCAAAATACCAATTTAAGTGTTTTTTTCTTAATTAGTTCACAAATTATGAAAAATTTTGTTTTAATCCACTGACACTGCTTTAATCAAATGGTTTTTGCCAATGTAAAATGGTGTGCTCGCTTTGGAACACAGTCTGGTAGTTCCTCAAAAATGTTAAATATAGTTACCATCTGACCTTAGCATTCCAAGAGTAATAAAAGCATATATTCATATAAAACTTAAACACAAATGCTGACAGCGACATCACAAGAGCTAAAAGTGTTAACAACCTATAACTAGTCAGTTTTAACTGTGAACTTGACACAAACAAGAATTACCTGGGAAGAGTGTTTTAATAAGGAATTACCTAGATCAGGTTGGCCTGTGTGCATTCCTATGGGGGACTGGCTTGCCCAGCCATTGTGGGCAGAACCATTCCCTTGGCAGGGAGTCCTGCCCTATGCAAGACAGAACAAAAAGCTAGAGAGTAACATACATTTCATCTTCTCTTGACTATGGATATAACTATCTGCTTTAAAGTTCCTGCTGCCTTGACTTCCCTGCTGTCGTGGACTGCAATCTGGGATTGTAAACCAATAAACCACTCTCTCCTCTGTGTTGATTTTTGCCAGAGTATTTTATCATAGCAGCAGAAATGAAACTAGGACACAACCCAAATGTCCAATTAATGAATAAAGAAAGAGAATCTGGTATGTAATAGAGTAATATTTAGGAATAAAAAGCATGTACTTATACATGATACAATAAGAATGTACTTTAATAATATGCTATGTGAAAGGAGCCAGTCACAAATTACTACATACTATAGGATATCATGTGTAAAATATCCAGAATGTACAAGTCTAGAGAGGCAGAAAGTAGGTTAATGGTTGTCTTTTGGTGATGATGAAGGATTTTTAAATTGGTTGGTACTGTATACAACTCCATGCATATATTAAGATAATAACACATTAAAATTAATGAGTTATGGATTCAAAATGCATTTTTAAGCTCAGCAAAAAGTTGGTTTATTCAACTACCCCCCAAAAAAACATAAAATTTTCCCTTGACTAAACTTTATTACATAATCCCAAATCAAGTAATCTCAGTACCATTGATGTGACCCACCTCTTAAATATCTCTATGGTTTATCCAATTCTCTGTAACCCTTGAGGCCCTTATCCTAATCCAAGATATCATCAGGCTATCACCGTCACTACACAGTCCACCATCTCTCTAGATCTTAACTAGTGATGACAACTTAAGATCCTAACCCATGCCTGGGATGAAGTCTATTTGGTCATGGTGGATGATATCTTTTATGTGTTCTTGGATTTGGTTTGCAAGTATTTTATTGAGCATTTTTGCATCAATGTTCATAAGAAAGATAGGTCTGAAGTCCTTTGTTTGTTGGGTCTTTGTGCGGTTTAGGTGTCAAGGTGACTGTGGCTTCATAGAATGAGTTTGGTAATGTTCCTTCTATTTCTATTTTGTGGAATAGTTTGAAGAGAAATGGAGTTAGGTCTTCTTTGAAGATATGGTAGAATTCTGCATGGAGACCATATGGCCCTGGGCTTTTTTTGGAAGGTAGACTTTTGATGACTGCTTCTATTTCCTTGGGGGATATAGGACTATTCATTCTATTTACCTGATCTTGATTATTATCAATTATCAAGAAAATTGTCCATTTCATTTAGATTTTCAAATTTTGTGGCATATAGGCTTTTGTAGTAGGACCTAATGATTATTTGAATTTCCTCCCTGTCTCTTGTTATATCCCCCCTTTGGTCTCTAATTTTGCTGATTAGGATAGTTTCTCTCTGCCTTTTAGTTAGTTTGGCTAGGGGCTTGTCTATCTTGTTGGTTTTCTCAAAGAACCAGCTCTTGGTCTCATGGATTCTTTGAATTGTTTTCTTTGTTTCTAATTCATGTAGAGCAACAGAACCAAAAAATCTGAGCCCCGGGGGCTTTTCTGAGACTGAGACTCCAACCAAGGACCCTGCATGGAGATAACCTAGAACCCCTGCACAGATGTAGCCCTTGGCAGCTCAATAGCCAAGTGGGTTTCCTAGTAATGGGAACAGGGACTGTCTCTGACATGAACTCAGTGGCTGGCTCTTTGATCACCTGCCCCTGATGGGGGAGCAGCCTTACCAGGCCACAGAGGAAGACAATGCAGCCAGTCCTGATAAGATCTGATAGACTAGGGTCAGAGGGAAGGGGAGGAGGACCTTCCCTATCAGTGGACTTGGGAGGGGCATGGGAGGAGATGAGGGAGGAAGAGTGAGAGTGGGAGGGAATGAGAGAAAGGGCTACAACTGGGATACAAAGTGAATAAACTGTAATTAATATTTAAAAAAATTAAATAAAGAAATAAATAAATAAAATTGGTAATTATAAATTTAAAAAAAAGATACTAACCCATATTTAGATATTACAGCTGAAAATTAGGCGTGCCCAACTCATGGCCCATATATGAATATGATACAATATAAAATTGTAAACTTATAAAAAATAAAAAAATTGTAAACTTACAAAACATGAAGTGTTTATGATGTTTTGTCTTGTCTTATAACTCAACTGCACAGTTCTCAAGCACGAGCTTCACTAATGGCAACATCATGGGTTGGGCAAAATAACTGCTTTTACAGCCTGTGGTCTGTGAGTTGGACACATCTCAAAGTCCAATGTATCTTTGGTCCCCACAGTGGTACTAAGGGAAGGTGCTGAAACCTTTTAGAAGTAGCTGTTTCTGGAAGTCTTTAGGTCACCAGACCACACTCTGGAAGCACATTGCAGGACCCTGGTCTTTCTCCTTTGATTCATGGTCATGAAGTAAGTTTTGTTTTGTCAGTGCTTTTATCACAGATCCAAAACAGTCACTGTACTGGTTAGTTTTATCAATTTTATTTATTTTATACCTGGGAAGAGGGAAATGCAATTGAGAAAAAATCTCTATCACACTGACGGAGATTAAAGACGGTTTGCTTTGATTTTCGATTTGGAGGTTATGATCTATGAATGTTCTATTTGTTTTCTATTGCTGTGATAAAGCACTGAGACCAAAAACAACTTGGGGAGGAAACGGTTTATTTAGCTTATACATCCAAATCATGTCTTTTTAGGCATGTCTGTGGGGGCATTTCCTTGATTAATGATTGATTTCGTGGGAAGGCCCAGCCCACTAAGAGCAGTCCATTCTTGAGTCCTGGGCTGTATAAGAAAGCAAGTTGAGCAAGCCATGGAGAGCAAGCCAGTAACCCGTGTTGCTCTCTTGCCTCTGCTTTGGTTCCTGTCTTGAGTTTCTGCCCTGACTCCTTTTCATGATAGACGGTGATCTGGATGTATAAGCCATATAAACCGTTTCCTCCCCAAGTTGTTTTTGGTCTCAGTGCTTTTTTTTTTTTTTTTTTTTTGCAATAGAAAGCAAACAGAACATTCATAGATCATAACCTCCAAAGCAACAATCAAAGCAACCCATTTTTAATTGTTCTTCATTGAAATCAGATCTTCCTATCTTTCCCAGAATACTCTCAATTGGGAGGGGGCTCAAGTGACCTTTAACCTTCCCAGCAGCTAGGACTCCAGGCATACACCACTACATGGGGCATGCATTTGGCTCCTAAGCTGATTGTTTTGAGTACTTTGTCAGAGATGGAATACTCACTTGAATAGATGACTCCCAAATTAGGTTTTACCCAAGATTAATGATGAGACTATCGGGCTGATACATTTAACTGCCAAAGCAACCCAAACCCACCCCTTCCAGTGACATCTTCTCCTTCCTGAAATCCACTTTCTTCCATACTGCACAGACCAGAAAGGTGAGAACTAAGTTAGGGCGCCTCACACCTCTTGCATGCTTCATCCAAACCAGCACACCAAGTCCACCTCCACACTAAAGTCTCTACTCTCTGCAGCTCCGTTCCTCTGCCACCATCCACTCCATGTCACCAGTCTCTCTCTCATCCAGTGACCTCCAGTAGAATCCTATCTAGTCTCCCAAATTCTACCCCTACAACCCCCACCAATTAGTTCATATGAGCACAGTAGCTTATGTAGCTTTCCTGCTTTAAAAATCATCGGATGTTTATTATTTTCTTAAATCAAGAGCTTTTTATACTATCTAGAATGCATCCCTCTTACTAATTAGCATTAAATTTTGGATTTAACTTAAATGTCAGCAAAACTTAACCTGACTTCTCATTTCCCCATAATCAGATATCCATGATATACCTCTGTTATTCTTCCATTTAAAGTTATAAAATTTGCCTGGCTTGGTGGTACAAATTTGTGCTCCAGCTTCTCTAGCACACCAGCTGGGACAGGAGGATGGAGAATTCAAAGATGGCTCAACTACATAGTGAGTTCAAGGTCAGCTTGGGCTACCTAATAAGATTTTGTCTAAAAATTATATGTGTGTGTGTGTGTGTGTGTGTGTGTGTATATATATATATATATGGTTATTCATTATTTGCTTTTAATAAGCTACATGTAGCAGGACCCTGGATATTTTATTCACTAGCATAGATACACAGCACTGAACATATGAATAACCATATTACTAAAATATTTATTAAATGGACAAAGTCATATATGTCACAAAAATCTATATGTTTAATGACAACTCTAACACTACAGAATATATTTTAAAAGCAAATGAAACTGGAGGTAAATAAAGCCAACGTTAATCACATTCACTTCATTGTTTTTACTTTGTATTGTTGGCTGATACATCTTTATAGTTTGTTTTTCTTTTACCCTACATGGCACTTCCCAAAACATGATGTTTTATTTTCACTCCTTAGATTAAAATCTTGTAAGATAGCCAGCATAAGTTTTCTGTTTTGTTACATGGTCTGATTAATTCACAACCTAAGAATCTCTTCTCATAAGTACCACCTTTGTTCTTTCTTTTTTTTTTTTTTCTCAACATAATGTTTTTATAGATTATTTGGGAATTTCACATCATGTACCGAAATCACTCACTTCCCCATCCTTCCAGGTCTCCCTGCCAACCCTCTGACCTCCTCCCCCAAAGTGAAAGAAAGAAGATGGAGGAGAAGCAGAAGAGGAGGAGCAGGAGCAAAAGAAACAAAGAAGAAGCAAAAGCAGAAACAGAAGCAGGGGGAGGAGGAATTTGTGGTATCTATATACTTACTGGAGCATGGTCAAACTCCCTGTGGCCAGCCCCTTACAGAAAACTGAGTCTTTCCTTGCCTGTAACCCCACCAAAAGACATCAACTGGGGAGAACTACACACCAGCATCCATTCACAATTTTTTTTTTTGTTTTGTTTTATTTTTTGAAACAGGATTTCTCTGTGTAACCTTGGCTTTCCTGGAACTCACTCTGTGGACCAGGCTGGCCTCAAACTCAGAGATCTGCCTGTCTCTGTCTTCTGAGTGCTGAGACTAAAGCCATGCACCACCACTGTTCATCCCCTTGTCTTAATTTTTAAGAGTTCTCTTCAATGATTCTGTCTAAGCTGTTATTTGGGGGAGGGGGAGAAGATGGGATAAAGGTAGAGGTTGTCACAGAAGCCTTCTATGTCCCTTTTTCTCAAGACTGTGAGTCTGCAGTCATCAGTAGCACTGCAGAAGAAGATTCCTTGCCATTTACAGTGAGCGGGAGCACAGATCATGGACTCCACATGGCATCTGGTGACAACACAGACCACAGACATCCAAATGGTCTCAGCATGGTGCCCGGTGGAAGTACAGACCACAGACATCAACACGGCCCTTTGATGCAGCATGGGCCACGAACACCATCATAGTTCTTTTGAGGCAGGGTCCCACTATGTAGTCCTAGCTGTCCTGAAACTCACTGTGTAGACCAGGCTGGTTCTGAACTCACAGAAAGAAATCTACTTGCCTCTGTTTCCAGAGGCTAATGTGTGTGCCATCTCACCTGGCCAATGCTTTGTACCCAGAATGTCATTCTCACTGCTCTCTTTTCTAAATTCTACCTCCAGTTAAGGACCAGACTCAGTCTTTCTCAAAATATTTTTGGGTGATTTAGGCTAAAAATAATTGTTTTTAAATGCCATAGTAACCATAGTTTCAATTATTTTGACAAGATGAGACACTGTTATTTAAAAACCAGTTAACTAAATAAAATGTTTTAGTTACTTCATGGTTATGTATGATTACTTCCAAGGGAAAGAATTACACAAACTACACTAAATTAACTCATGCTTTCTTCTCCATCTAGACACTTGGTAAGCACATATACATACCCTGTCGCTATAAACCCCAAAGATAACATAAATATCTACGTTCAGAGTTAAATTTTGACAAAGGACCTCTTATACATAGGTATTTATAACAATGAACTTATAATGTCTTCAAATAACACATTTTATATCAGTACGTTTTGTTTTATAGCTTAAGGATCAGCTGGGTTGAAAATAAACATAAGACAGTCTAAAATCTAAAACACACCTACCAGCAAACTACCACCACTCTGACTTTTCTCTCAGCCACCACATTTCCTATTTAACAGTTCCTAAAAGTAAATCTACCCCTTCTGACCTGCCTTGACCTGTTTATGTACAATTCCAATCAAAGTCCTTATACTGAAGTTTTGCAATAATCTTAAAACACAAATATTTCTGAATTCTCAATTCAACATTTGGCCTTTACCTGTAGTTTCATATATATATGAAATAATTCATCATATATTTGATTTATCTGATGTGGAAGCAAACCTTGCTTCTTTGACACTTTGGATTTTGGATAAATGACATGTTTCAAAGGAGAGTCAATGGAATCATTGCAACATTCAGTCTGAAGTCCTGGTGAGGCCATGTTAGTCAGCAGGGCATCTGCAAAAGTTTTGAATTTATCAGACAGAGAGTCTTCAGAAAGAGTTACTTTAAATAAAAATTACAGTATTGTTAAAAATCTAGAAAGAATGACATAGCAAAAAACAGCAAAATGTAACATAAAATTTGGATAAAGTATATAAATGAATTGTCTGTACTTTGTGCAACGTTTCTGGTAAATCTAAGATTGTTTCAAACTTAACATGTGGATAAAAACTTTCTATGAATTAACTAGCCTAAGCCAAGATATGGAATGTTACCTCACAAATTCCTAATCATGTTTCCCTCTAGACCTTCAAACAAAATTAGCCACCAACTCAATTTATAGTGCTAATCATTGCCTTTACTTTTCAGTTTCCTCTACCAACTTTGCAAAAGCCTGTTTTGTTTATTTTAGGCTTTGTGTTACACAATTTCTATAGCCCCTTCCTCTAAACACTAACATGCTCTCTAAAATCTACCCATGCTGCCTGCAGAATGGCGGGTTATCCTATTTTATAAATATATGACAACATTCTCCCAGACATGCACTTAAGGTGTTTTGGTTATGTAGATTTTACACAGTCATACCTCTGCCTCTTGTCACTCATGTTCAGTAATGTCTTCAGGAGAAACATAGATATACAGAGAGATCTCAAAATTTTGCTGGCTTTTAGGATTTATGTACAAGTTCAACTTTACTAATGATGACAAATTATTTTTCAAAGTGATTAAACAGTCTGAACAATAGTGGATACGTTTCACTTGCTTCTAATCCCTACCAATATTATATACACCAGCAAACCCTTGGGGCTAGAGAGATGGCTCAGCTGAGAACATGCTGCTCTTGCAGCGGATCCAGCTTCAGATGACCATAAGCTACAAGCATCCAAACTTCTAGTTCCAGAGATCCAATGCCCTCTTCTGAGGCTCTCTTCCACAAGCACCATGCACACACATGACGCACATACATCCATACAGGTAAAACATTCACACACATAAATTAAAAAAAAAAAAAAGTAAACCCTCATATATACTGCTTGTAAAATAGGAACTAGACCAGTCTCTAAGAAAATCAGTTTAGACTCTTCAATGGACTAAAAATGTATCTACCACACGACAGTCACGGCTTCTGGTGAAGCACTCTAAGGCCATGCGCCACACAGATACTTGTGTACACATGTTTGCTGTGGCACTATGCACAAGACCCAAGTGCCACAAACAACTAGTTTTTCGTCAACAAAAAAATAAATTTAAAAAAATGTGATACACCACACACATGAACACATACACAGGATTTTATTCAGCTATAAAGAACAAAATTATGTTATTTGTAGAAAGATAAATTCAACTGGAGGTTATCATATTAAGTGAATTAAGTCAATCTCAAAAACAAATGTGGCATGTTTTCTCATATTTACATTTTATAGATTTTTATATGGATGCATAAACTCAAGGCTGGAAGGGTGGACAAACAGTTGAGAATTCTTGTTGCTCTCAGAGGACCAGAGTTTAGCTCCCAGAATGCACATGGCACCCTGCTGCCAAACACCTGTAACTACAGCTCTGGCATCCTCCTCTGGCCTCTGATGGCATGCACACGCGCACACACACACACACACAAAGACACACATATACACATACACTTAAAAAATGAGACACGCCAGTTGGTGGTGTAACATGTCTTTAGAGGTTAGAGGGAGACAGATCTCTAAATTTGAGGCAATCCTGGTCTACAGAGTGAATTACAAGACAGCCATGGCTACAGCCACAGTGAAACCCTGTCTTGAAAAACCAATAATAAAAATAATAATAACAATAGACACAAAAGTCAGGCATGATGGCAGACATCTTTAGTACCAGCACATGGAAGGTAGAAGCAGGCAGATTTCTGTAAGGCCTGCCTGGTCTATAAAAGTTTTAGGACAGCCAAGGCTACATAAAGAGGCCTTGTCTCAAAACAAGAAAATAAAAATAGACACATAAAGCCATGTATATAGCTATAGCATGGAGAGAGAAGCAAACTTTCTGGAAACAAAAGAGATTAACAGGAATTAAGAGGGGCTAAAATGAGGAGAATATGCTCTAAGTACATTCTATAGTTGTATGAAAGTTTCCTATAAAACCCAGTACCATAAAGAATATATGCCAATAAAAACTCATACATAATTAATGAAACTCAAACATTAGAAAACAAAATTCTCTGTCACAGTGGCCTTGGGAAGTCAAAAGTCTTTCATTATATTCCCTCATCTTGGAGAGACAGAACAACCAAAATAAAAAATACTAATTTACACTCGGGAGCCAGAGGCAGGAGGATCTCTGTAAGTTTGAGGCCAGCCTGGTCTACAAAGTGAGCTCCAGGACAGCCAAAACTACACAGAGAGAGAGACTCTTTCTCAAAACAAAAACAACTAATTTATTTTTCAGGCAGGTGGCATATACCCATAATCCCAGCAACTGACTGAGGTAAAGGCACCGAAAGTTCAAGGTCAGTCTGAGCTACCAAGTGAGAATGCAACTAAAAACAAAAAAATGTTATAAAATAAATTTTTCGAAAAACAAAAAGTTTCATTACTGAGATAAGCAAATGAGTAAAAAGTCTGTCTAGGTACCTAACTAATCAATTCCCAGCCTGGGTACAATATATATATATATATATATTGTCAACTTTCTTTTTGTTGTTGTTGGGGGGCTGTTGTTGTTATTGTTGCTGTTGTTTGAGACAGGGTTTCTCTGTGTAGCCTTGGCTGTCCTGGACTCACTTTGTAGACCAGGCTGGCCTCCAACTCACAGCAATCCACCTGCATCTGCCTCCCTGAGTGCTTTTGTCAACTTTCAAATGCATTCAACTTTTTAAAATAAACTTCTCTTACATTTTCAGTAGAAAAACTGGCCACCTAATGGGAAACACAAGTACAGGCTGAGCCACGTTTTATCATCTTCAGATGCTGAGACCAAGGGGATGGTGGAGGACAAGGAAAGCAAAAGAAATACAGACAGTATGTGCCCAGTGCTTCAACAGTGTGCTCCAACTCTTGCAGCCAGAGGGCAATGAACAGAAACCACTTTCCCTGAAATCCTGAGGGAACCATGGGAAACATTCAGGTAGACAGAGAGGCCCTGCTCCTGAGCAGCAGAGAAGCCAGTTTTAGCAATTGTCAGAAGCCCTTTCCATAAATGGAAACAAGAAAAAGAACTAAAGGCATCACAAAAATTCAATTAATCATGAACTTATTTGGACAGGTTTTGAGATGGGAGGGCAGAACCATAAAATAGTATGTTTATCTCTCTTCTCCTTTAATTTAATGCTAAATAAGTATAGTAAGGTTTATAAAAACTCTGGACACAAAAATATACAGACTTCTGAGGAGCAGTTACTACTGTGAGGTAAGCATGGTTTTCCCTATATATCAAATCACTATTTATGAATATTTCTCTTACCTTTTTCTGTTTCTTTGAAGGACTGCTTTATTATTTTGGAGGCACCATCTCTATAATCATCTTCAATTAATTCTTCTTTGGTTTCCCATTTCTTTAAATCATTAAAAGAATCCAGTTCAGCACCATCATCATCTAGGCTTTAATAATAGATACATATCAGAAATCCAGAAGTTCACTACAACAACGGACAAAAACAAAGACAGTAACACAGATGAGGAAAATGTAAAAATCACTTTTAAATATGCATGTGAAATGGACAAGTTAACTCAAAAATCCTGAAAGTGTATCACATTTAAAACAGTTTAAAAGCTTTAGAATGCTCTGTGGCTACCAAACCCTTCCAATACCCAGTAATTGAGACATGATAGGCATTGTTATCTATAGTTTGGTTAAGATAATTACCAGCTAGCCTATGAACTGGAACAGAACCCCATGTTCTGAGATTACCTCAGGGCAGCACTGCTCACAAGGAACATAATGTAAATTACAGACACATTTGATCATTCCTCTGGTAGTACATTAAATTAAAATTTTTTTTTTATTAAAGATTTATTTATTTTATGTATATGGGCACTCTATCTGCATGTACGCCTGTAGACCAGAAGAGGGCACCAGATCTCACTATAGATTGTTGTGAGCCACCATGTGGTTGCTGGGAATTGAACTCAGGACTTCTGGAAGAGCAGATAGTGCTCCTAACTGCTGCGTTATCTCTCCAGCCCTTTAAATGAGGTGTCTGGTTAGAGACTGTGGTAAGCGGCCATGTGGGCACTGAGAACCTGGGTCCTCTTGAAGAGCAGCCTGTGCTCCCAACCTCGGAGCCATTTCTTCAGCCCATAGTAGTACATTAAAAAGAAAAAGAGGCAAGACTTTCACAAAACATATAAAATGTCCTTCAGCACAGAATGAAAGTAAGACATGGAGGTTGCTGTGGTTGTGTGTAAAGTATTCCTAAGGGCTCCAGGGCTGCCATCTCGGAGTCCCTAAGCACGCTAGTTTTATTAACAGGTTAACACACTACTATTCCACCCTACTACATGAGCTGTTAGGAAACAGGGACTCAGTAGAGAAGCAGTTCACTAAGAGGGTGTTTTTCAAAGATTTCTCTTGTCTCTGTTTCCCAGCAGCTATAAAGCATAGAACTCTACTCTATCAAACCTTCTACTAAGACACTCTGCACCACCATAGGCTTAAAAAGATGGCAGCCAGCAACCATGGACTATAAGTCTAAAACCAAAAACCAAAATAAACCCTCTCCTTTTGTTTATGTCAGGGATTTTGTGACAGTGACAAAAACAGACTGACATAAAAAGATTTTATGTTATCTTGACCATGTTATGTCTTTGAAATATCTTGGTGTGTTTTATATTTATAGCATATTTCTTTTCAGACCAGCCCCTTTTCTAGTACTAAGCAGCTATTTGTAACCTGTATCTACTGGCAGGACAACATCCTTGTAAACTAGGTTATGACTAAGAATTACCACAAGAGGGGGAGCCCAATGACATTATGAAAATGAAGTCTTCAGAGCCAAAATGTTCACATTGTAATTTGTAATTACACCCAGATTTATATAAATGGGGGCACTGGAAGGGAGTAAAATAACTGTACTAACAAAGTAGAGAGGTGTAAGTGGGCCTAGGAGCACAGGCACAGGGAAAGTACGAAGTAGGACAACCAGAACCAATTTAGAATTAAAAAAAAAACAACAAAACAACATAAGGGAAGCTAATACTTGGTAAACTAGTTAAAAAATAAAATAGCCCATGGCTGAAGAGATGGCTCAGCTCTTAAAATCCCTTGTTGCTCTTGCAGCAGACCCAGCAACTACATGGTGTGGTTCACAACCCTCTACAATTCCAGTTCCAGGAAATCTTAACCCTGCTCTGTCTTCCACAGGCACATACACGTGTTGTACACATACCTAAATGCGGAGAAAACACTCAGACACATAAAACAAAAGTTGGGCATAATGGTGCACACTTTTAAACGTACACTCAAGAGACAGAAGCAGGAGGTCCTCTGTGAATCTGAGCCCAGCCTAGTCTCCATAGCCAGTTCCAAGACTCTGTCACACACACACACACACAAAACAAAATAACAAATAAATAGGGATGGAGAGATGGCTCAGGGGTTAAGAGCATTGGTTGCTCTACCAGAGGATCCAGGTTCAATTCCCAGCACTGACATGGCAACTAACAATCATTATTACAGTGCCCTCCCTAGCCATCTTAGGCAATGCACACATGTGATACAAAGAACTATATAGTAGGTACAGTGGTTCTCAACCTTCCTAATGATGTGAACATTTAATACAGTTCCTCAAGTTCTGGTGACTTCCAACCATTAAGTTATTTTCATTGCTACTTCATAACTGTGATTTTGCTACTGTTATGAATTACAATGTAAATACCTATGTTTTCCAATGGTAACTGCTCTAAAAGGGTCATTTGACTGTTAAACAGATGGCAACCTACAGACTGAGGACTGCTGGCTTAGCAGTTAAGAGTACTTGTTGCTATAGCAGAAGACTTGGGTTTGATTCCCAGCACCCACATGGTTCCATAACCCCAGTTCCAGGGATCCAACAAGCACATACATGGTATACAGACATGATATACATAAAGTAAAATAAATACATCTTTTTTACATTTTAAAGGGGAACTGGAGAGATGACACAACAGTTAAGAGCACTTGTTGCTCTTACAGAGGACCTGGGTTCAGTTCCTGGAACTAAATGGTGGCTCTCAACATCGATAATTCTAATTCCAGGAAATTTGATGACCTCTTTTTCCAAGGGTACCAGACATGCACATAGTACACATGCTTACATGCAGACAAAGCAATTAACCTTTAAAAATTTTTAACTACTTAATAACCTAGGGCAGGAGGGGATGGCTCAGTAGGTAAAGGCACTTGCTGCCAAGTCTGGCAACCTGAGTTTGATACCCAGGATCCAAATGCAGAAGGAGAGAACTAACTCCTGCATATTGTGCTCTGACCTTGACATGCGCCTTGGCACATGCTGGCACCATTTCCCACTGACAGACACAAAATAAATAAATAAACGAATAAATAATAAATAGGAATGTAATGCTTAGAGATTAAGAGCACTGGCTGCTCTTACAGAGGATCTGCGCTCAGATCTTAGCACCACACAGTGACTCACAACTGTCTGTAACTAAAGTTTCAGATCAGATACCCTCTTCTGGCCTCCTTGGGGAACCAGGCACACAAGGGGTGCATAGACATACACACAGAAAAAGCACATGTACATAAAATAAAATAATAAAGGAGGTTTGGCTCTTCAACTATTCATCAGGATCCAGACTGCTTTTATATCCTCTCAAGAAAACACACACATACACACACACACACACACCCCTCTTTTCCATTGTTGTTTCCTGAGGTGCTAACAGGATAGTAACAATATCTATTCTGAATGCCTTACCAGTTCACATTTACGTGTTTGAAGGAACTGCAGAACGGTGCTGTAGAAAACTTCCTTTCAACAGAGTAGCATCTTAGTGATGAACCAATTTTATCTCCAGAGCAGTAGGTATCCAAACCATCTGTGAATTAAAAAAAAAAAGTTACATGATGATGTCAGATGCTAATGATCTCATTTTGGCCTCCTAAAAGACACCATAGTCACTGATTGATTCATCTTTCTCTCTAATGTGAGCATGGAGAATACAGACTAAATTTCATATTCATGTGTATTTTAGTGATTACACAACGCTCTTCCATTCTCATTTGACCCAGGTGATGAGTTTGTAAAATAATAGGTGCTTTTAATTTAAGTCTATTGTATGTTAGAACCCTAAAGACCAGAGAACTGATGTGAACCAGGTATGTCACCTGGAAATCAGAATACATCTTTCTTTCCTCTTAAGTAGGGTCCTCAAGCATTTGTTTTTAAGCACTGGCAGACTCTATCCAAATCCAGTGGTAGGGAGGGGCTACTCACTTCAGATAAAAATAAAATAGATTACTGTATTAGTTAGGGCTTTTATTGCTGTGATAAGATGCCAGGACTACAGCAATTCTTGTTGTTTTGTCTTTTGAGACAGGGTTTCTCTGTGTAGCCTTAGCTGTCCTGGAACTTGCTTTGTAGACCAGGCTGGCCTTAAACTCATAGATTCACCTGCCTCTGCCTCTTGTGTGCTGTCATTAAAAGTGTGCTCTAACACTGCCCAGCAGACCACAACAACTCTTGTTTTTAACTTAATTTTATTTATACATTATCACAATTTATTTACTTTGTATCCCCTCTCTGCAGCCCCCTCCCTTTTCCACCCACCCTCCCTCCTCTCCCCCTATGCCTTTTTCCTAGTCCCCTTATAGGGGAGGTCCTCCTCCCCTTCTATCTGACCCTAGCCTATCAGGTCTATCAGGACTGGCTGCATCCTCCTTCTCTGAGGCCTGGCAAGGCTGCAACCGCCAGGAGGAAGTGACCAGACAGTCTGCCACTGAGTTCATGTCAGAGACAGCCCCTGTACCCTGTACCCCCAAGGGAACCCACTTGGACACTGAGGAGCCAATGGGCTTCCTTTGAACAGAAAGAACGACAACTCTTATAAAGAAAAACATTTCATTGGGGCTGGCTTACAGCTGAGAGGCTTAGTCCACTATAGCCATAGTGGAAGCATGGCAGTGTGCAGGCAGACTTGGTGCTGGAGTTCTTACACTGGACCCTTAGGCAGTAGGAAAAGGCAATGAGCTACTAGGCCTGACTTGAGCTTCTGAGACCACAAAGCCCACCCCTTGTGACACACTTTCCCCAACAAGGGTACCTACTCCAACAAGGCCACTCTTTATAGGCTTTTGTGGCCATTTTTGTTCAAACCACAATTACTGACTCAGTTACTCTACCATAGCAAGCATCCATAAACTATTTAACATTTCAAAAATTCAAAATAGATAGGCATTGTGGTGCATACCATAATTACAGCACTCCCGGGACTGGGACAGGAAAACTAACAGGAAATTAGAGGACAGCCTGGGTTTCTCAGTTCACGTCAGCAGTCAGTTTCACACAACACAGTGTTCTCTGAGGAAGTCTCACTTGGAGGATTGTCATCAGATTAGCCTGTGCGCATGTCTGTTGGGAATTTTCTTAAGTGTTAATTGACATAGGAGGTACCTGTGGATGGTACCATCCCTAGACAGGGGATCCTGGACTATATAAGAAGCTAGCTAAAAAGGAAGCTAGGAAGCAAGTCAGGGAGGAGCATTCTTCCAAGGCCTCTACCTCAGTTCAAGATCCTGCTTGAGTGCTTGCCCCGGCTTCCTTAGAAGCTGATGGACTGTAAGCTGAAGTAAACCATTCTCTTCCCAAGTTGCTTTTGGTAATAGTGTCTTATCACAGCAACACAAGGTAAACTAGGATTCCAGGCTACATAGCAAGCTCCTATTTCTACTGTTTTAACTGATGAAATTTCAAGATGTAAGAAGCTTAGGAAAAAAAAAGAAATAACCTAATAAACCACTTGATAAATTTTTTTAAATCTCTAAATATTTAATCTTTTAATATAAAGAGTTAAATCCTCCAGAAGCTGGGGTTCAGAAGGTTAGAGACAAGTAAGATACAGTGTAGGGCATACAGATTCCCATTCTCAGTGCTAGTCACAAACAACTCCACATCTAATACACAAAATAATTATATATAAATGAGTTATTAACTGCCATTCATTTCTGTAGATTTATGTGTGAATCAAACTTGTCCTCTGCAAGAGCAGCCATCTCTCTAGCATCTAGGGTGTAGCCTTAACCACTGAACTATTTCTCTTGCCCTTCATTTATTTAATTGAAAGCCTTTTTCTCATACAATATATTTTTATGTTTCCCCTCCTCCAATTCCTCCCAGATCTACCCAATGAACGTTTTTTTTTCTCTCTCTCTCTCTCAAAAAAAAAAAAAAAAAAGCCAAGAGGGATCTACAGCCAGGATACAAAGTTAATAAATTCTAATAAGCATTAATAAATTTTTAAAAAGCCAAGAAATAAAAACAAAGCAAAAACTACAAGAAACACACACATTCACATACATACACACAAACCTACAAAAACAAAAATCAAAAGAAAAAAAAGGCAAAAATATGTCCAAAAAAAGCAAAATAAAACAAAAAGTCCACAAAATACCATTGAGTTATTTTTATGTTGGCCAAATTCCTGGGCATGGGACCCATCCTGAAGTATGAGTGATATACCTAGTGATAGTCCACTGGAAAAAACTGATTTTCCCTTTGACAGCACATACCAATTGCAGATAGCTTATTGGTTAGGAATGGAATACCATGTCCCCTTTCCCCTCTCATGCCGGTACCCCATCTTGTCTGAACTGTGCAGCATTTGTGTCTAAAGACACTGTTTCTTCAAAGTCATCCATCACCTCTGGCTCTTTCTACCTCCATGGGGCATAAATCCTTGAGCCTTGAAAATATACCTTTTAAAGCAGAGTGCTCCAAAGTTTCTCACTCTCTGAACACTGTCTAGTTCTGGGTCTCTATGTCATTTTCCATCTACAGCATGTTTCTCCAGTGTGCCTTGATCAAGTCACTGATTGTTTCCCATCTTTTTACACTAAGGTAATGTCAACCCTTGATGTTGAGGTGTGTTTCTTGGATGCCATACAAAGATAGATCCTGTTTCTTTTTCTTTTTCTGTTTTTTGTTGTTGTTTGTTTGTTTTTTTTCAAGGCAGAGTTTCTCTGTGTAGCCTTAGCTGTCCAGGGGTGGCTTTATAAACCAGGCTTGGCCTCAAACTCACAGATATCCACCTTCCTGTGCTGGCATGCGCCACTGAGCCTGGCTAGATCCTATTTTCTAATCCAATGACAATCTTTCTACTAGGGAATTGAAACCATTAACATTAAGAATTATTAATGAAAGCCAGCAGTGATGGTACATGCCTTTATCCCCAGAACTCGGTAGACAAAGGCAGGTGGATCTCTGTGAGTCTGAGGCCAGCCTGGTCTACAAAGTTGAGTTCCAGGGCAGCCAAGACTACATAGAAAAAAGAAAAAAAATTTTTAATGAGATTGGGGGAAGACTGTTTATGATTACTGTTATTTCATTATTATGGTGTGAGTGTCCATTCCCCTTTTTTATTTACTATTCTGGGATTATTTATTCCCAGTCTTCTTGGGTGTAATTAACCTCTGCAAACTGAAGTTTTCCTTCAAATGCCTTCCATAGAACTGAACTGGTAGATAGAAATTGCTTAAATTTGGTTTTATTGTGTAATGTTTTTTTTTTTCCATTAATTGTCACTGATAGTTTTGCTGGGTATAGCAGTCTGGGCTGGCATCTGTGATTGTTCAGCATTTATAAGCTCTTCTGGCTTTCAGTCTCTATTGAGGTTTTATTCTAATGGGCCTGCCTTAATATGTGACTTGGTCTTTTTCCCTTGCAGCTTTTTATATTCTTTCTTTGTTGTATACATTTGGTGTTTTGATTATTATATGTCATGTATAATTTCTTTTCTATTTGGCTTTGTGAATGCTTCTTTTATGTTAGCAAGCATCTTTCTTTAGCTTGGGGAAATGTTCTTCTATGATTTTATTAAAAATGTTTTTTTTGCCAGGTATAGCAGCACATGCCTGTAATCCTAGCACTCAGGGAGGCAGAAGTATGCAGATCTATCTCTCTGTGAGTTCAAGGCCAGCCTTAGTCTATAAAGCAAGTCCAGGACATCCAAGGCTACAGAGAGACCCTGTCTCAAAAACCAATCATAATAATAATGATGATGATAATAATAATAATTTCTAGCTGGGCAGTGGTGTGCATGCCTTTAATCCCAGTCATTAGTCAGGGGTCAGAGGCAGGTGGATCTTCATGAGTTCGTGGCCAACCTGGTCTATGATGGGAGATCCAGGACAGCCAGGGTTACACAGAGAAAACCTGTCTCAAAAAAATGAAAACAAAACAAAACAAATGTCTGTGCCTTTGACCTGGGTTACTTCTCCTTCCTCTATATCTATTATTCACAGTTTTGGTCTTTTCAGAATGTCCCAGATTTCCTTGATGTTTTCTTTGGTTTGTTTGTTTTAGATTCAACATTTTCTTTGACAGAGCTATCCATTTCTTCTACCTTGTCTTCAAGACCTGAAATTCTCTGTTCTGTGTGTTGTAATGTTTTAAAAATTACAATTAATGGCTTACCACTGAGGTTTTTGACCTCATTTTGACCTCATTTCCAGTTTTATTTCAGTTTGGGTTTTCTTTAGTGATTCTATTTCTACTTTCATGTTCTCACTATTTCATTCAACTATGTTTTTAGAGTCTTTAAAGTTCTTGAGCATATTTATAACTACTATTCTTTTTTTGAGATAGGGTTTCCAGTGTAATAGCCCTGGCTGTCCTGGACTCACTTTGTAGACCAGGCTGGCCTCAAACTCACAGAGATCTATCTGCCTCTGCCTCCCAAGGGCTGGGATTAAAGGCATGCACCACCACCACCAAGCATAACTGTTACTCTTAAATCCTTTTCTCATACTTCAGCTAAACTGTCTCTCAAGGTCTATTGCAATAAGAATACTCGCTGTTCGTGTCTGTGTTTTTGTGCTGGGATCTAGGAGAGTTTTGATGCTTGAGGTATTTCTTGGTGTAGATATCTGGTCTTGTCTTTGCTGGGTGGGTGTTCCTTTCTTTAGTTGTTGTTGTCCACTCTGGATCCTAGGCTAGTATAGTAGAAAATGCTTCTGCAGGTTGACACAAAGCAATGGAGATAAGCTACAAGGGATCACTGACAGAGTCAATGGCAAAGTCTAAGGAGATTCTGGGTTCACACTAAGAGGTAAAGGAGACCCCAGGGAATGGAGGTGAGGGGGGAGGAAGGGCTGCTATAGGCAGGGCACTATAGAACTAATACTCTGACGAGATCAGAATTGAGAACAGGAAGAATACTAAAGACTGCCTACCCAAGTTCCAGCCAACTGTGACTATTGGGGGGGGGGGGTAGATAGTCTCTGGTAGACAGTTTCTGCAGACTGGCACCTGACATAAAGGAGTAGAGATGGGAAAGGGAAAGGCTGAGGGTCAGATGTGAGAGCTAATATCCTGGACAAGCACTGAGAGCCATAGTCCCCAAGGAATGGAGGTAGGGTGGAAGATGGGGCTCCTGCAGTGCTGGCTGCAGGATGACCCATCGTTCATTTTATAAAGGGCATGTGTTTTATCAACTCTCCCCTAAAATTTTAATTAAAGAAATACATCTGTCAGAGAGCAAACACAATCTCTCTTCAACTGTTGTAAATTTAAAAAGATGAGTGGTGGGCTATATATTATTATTATTTGCCCTATAATTATCACGGCATTATTATCTAACCTGCTCTCACAAATAATAATACACAGACACCTGTTAGATTTTATAATTGCCTTATTTACCTTGGGCCGGGCAGATATTCTACCTACGCTGTCTGAATAATCTCACTATCCATCTCCCAGCCCCCATCCAATGCCATCCTCCTTAACCATCCTATCTTTCATCCATAATCTTATAAATACTTGCTTCTATTCTTCATTTGGGCCTTTTCACGCCATTACTGGAGTCCTTCCTCCCGGCCCCACATGGTTTCTTCTCCAGGCTAATCCATCATGGAATCTTTCTTCCTCTTTTCCTGTCCGTCTGTCTGTCTCCATGATTCTCGTGATTCATTCACCCTCAAAAGCCACATCTACCCTATTCTGCCCTGTTCAGGTATACTGTTTAATGAACCAATCAGGTATAATGTTTTAGACAGGTTTACACAAACAAGGATGAATGTATCTGGTGGGCAGTAACCAAACCTTGAGTGCTAGTAATTAGCATTAGACCAAACCCCAACAATCAACCCTCACAAATTCACACATGGGGAGAACCACTGGTGACCAAAAACAAGTTAGCAAGAATAAAGCCAGAAAGTTTATTAATGTATACAGTACACTTCACATAGGAGAAACCTCAATGAAAGGCCATGGCTTAGACCGCTGATGTTCATAGAATCTTCAACAAAGATTAGGTTCTTAGAGAAGTGACAAGATAGCAAGTCCCAGGGAGACCTGTCTCCACCTTCCCTAACAGAGTTACCAGAACGGACTGCCTAACCTGGCTTTCCTGAGTGCTGGAGATGCACACTTGGGTCCTATGCTTCTGCAGCAAGCGCTTCACCAACTGAGCCATCTCCTCCATCCTTATGAGGCTTACCTGACTCTGCTGTTTCTTACAGTGTTTATATCTAAGGGACATATCTGGGGGTATAAGGTTCTAAATTTCTTCATACAACAACCAAAAAAAATCACAAAGGGCAAAAGAATTTCAGGTAAATAACAGATGATTAGTCTATTACAAAAAGATTCTCAATAGGAAAAAAAAGTTTTCAAATGATATTTATAAATTATAGACCATAAAGTAAAAGTTAAACAAACACTGAGGAGGAAAAAAAAAAAAAAAACAACCCTGAAAACTGTAGGTGTCCCTAACGTTCTCCAGAAATTCTGCCATGAACTCAAGATGAGAGGCAAAATTCATCACTGCATATTGAGTCATTTAGACTCTGGAGAAACAAATAGTCTCAGGATGCTTAGGGTTTTAGAGTTACCACTACTTTAAGCTCAGTGACTACACACTCAATGACTATAAACTAGTGAAATTACCAGATAACTTTCTAATTTCTAGACCAAGTAAATCTTTATAAAAGTCTGCTGATTTCTAAAGCCTTTTAACTTCTCTTCTTTGGCTTTGTTGGCAATGGAAATAACAATTCTTTTTTTGTTTTGTTTTTTCAAGACAGGGTTTCTCTGTGTAGCCTTAGCTGTCCTGGACTGGCTTTGTGGATTAGGCTGGCTTCAAACTCATAGATATCTGCCTGTCTCTCTCTGCCTCCCAGAGTGCTGGGATTACAGAGATGTGCCACCATATCGAGCCAACAATTCATGCTTAAAATCCAGAATATTTGCTGTCAGTCCCTTTTGACTATCACTTCAGCCATCAAATTTAACTGTTTTTTTTTTTAATGATCTCATTCTGTCTGACTACCTAATTTTAAAATTCCAGCAACTTTAACCATTCTATCTTTAATGTTACATATAGCTTTCCTGATAGTGCTGTATTGGAATCCTTGCAGACAAGGTATTAAACTGAGTGTTTTTTTTTAACTTGTCACCAAATTCATTTATGTTTTTATCCAAGACACAGTTTGTCCCCTATCAATATGTAATATACTTATTACATATTAGAAATCAGACCTGTGCCCCAGACTTATCTAAACCAGATCAATACAGAGCTCTCCCAGGCCACCAGCCAGTCCTCAGACCCCGCTCCCACATCCTGATGAAATTAAAAACAGTATTCATGCTGTAATTACCAAAGTTTAGTGACTAATATGTTTAACTAATAAATATAGCACTGAAGTATCAGCAAACTAATGAATTAATAATTAATACTTATTACTACAAAAATGTTTCAGATTATAAAAAAATATTATAGCCCACAGTATAATTATGTTTTCCAAGTACATTCACTTGATACATTTTTCCTTTAGTGCCTATCCTAGTAAACTCTTGCCTAAAATAAACTAGTGTTCTTATAGTCTTCTCAATTTGTAACATCTTCAAAAGCAAACATACCGCTGGGGACATAGCTTGGTGATGGGGCACTTGCTTATTAATGATCAAGAGTCTGGATTTGACTCCCAGAACCACAGGAATGAAATAAAAGGGCTGGGTGTAGTGGCGAATACCTTTGATCCCAGTACTCAGGAGGCAGAGGCAGTTAGATCTCTGTGAGTTCGAGGCCAGCCTGGTCTACAAATCAAGTCCAGGACAGCCAGGGCAACACAAAGAAAACCTGTCTCAAAAAACTAATAAATAAATAAATGGAAAAATAAATAAATGAATAAATAAATAAGTGGAAGACACACATACTATAAGTTAAACACTACACACACCAAAACCCCTATTAAATTTAAGTTTTAAAGGCATCTCACACATTGACCTCTAAATTCACAATTATTAGGTGATTATCAGACTGAAAAAATAAAAAAAAATAAGTAACACTAATCCTAAAATCTAAACATTTACAAAAATCTCTCTCAAATTAAATTTGTTAAAAATGTTCAAGTATACAAAATATTCTATTGGCTTACCTGGGGAGGTTAGACTTCTTTTAAATTTAGTCTGAGCAAACCTTGAAAGCTCATGCTAGGGAGGGAAAAAAGATACACTTAACTTAAACACTAAGAAATAGTCTCTTAAAAAGTTTTTTCCATAGATTTCTGTCAATTACAAAGATCAGCATGGAAAGACCTATGGGTACCACCCTAACCAACATTAGTATTACTAATTAGACAAACATCATGTACCTGTTGATTCATTAGAGCAGCCCACACACCACTCATGTCATCGTCCTGCCAAAAACACAAAACCAGAATCAAATCAGGAGGTATCCATTAGACAAACTCAAACTGAGATACATTCTAATACACAACAGTCTCTGACCTTGTGTAAGCATTAATGGTGTAAGTGTGGGCATCTGCTGTAGATTAAAGGCAAAAGAAGCTGGGCTTGGTGTCACACCCCTTTAATACCGGCTCTTGGGAAGCAGAGGCAGGCGGGTCTCCATGAGTTCGAGGCCAGCCTGTCTATAAAGCAAGTTCAGGAAGGCCTGAGAAATCTGTTACACAGAGAAGCCCTGTCTTGAAAAAAACCGAAGGGGGGCGGGAAGGGGGAACAAGAGAGACAACAAGTGTAATGCTCAGACCCAGGCAGTATCCACACCAGGAACAACTCTCTACAAAAGGTCATAATTGAGGCAATCTGAGCATGAACTCTGCATTACCCTGAATTATTTTAGCAATACTAAATTTCCTGAAAATATCGATGAGGCATTAAAAGAGAACATACTTCACAGGAAACTAGGAGTATGTGTTGGGGTCTCAATTAAGATTATGTGAGGATAGAATGAAATTGTGACATGGGCATGGGAACACTGAAAAATATTAATATTTCTCAAGAAGGGATTCTGGAATGCCAGCAAACGTAGAAAGGAAGACAGGAATGCCTGAGACCTTCCTCAACTTTTGGAGGGCAGTTAGGGTAAATGATGTTCCCATACCTCAGATGTTTTTTTGTTTTGTTTTGTTTTGGTTTGGTTGTTGCTGTTTCTGAAGACAACATTGTTGTGCTGTATAAATGCTGTGATGTAAAGGAGGCTTCTTAGCTGAACTGTAACTCCTAACTCTGTTATCAAAGAGGGGGTGATAAAAATGAACCTCATCACGCAAACTGAGGACAGCAATTGGTTTCCCTCTTGTATTCTTCCAGGATTCTTAGGAGATGTGATCTGGCCAACTTCTCAGAGGGTGCTAGCAAATTGCCTTTGTGGGGACCGACAGCAAATATGGCAAGACTTCCCCCGTGAGTGGCGCATTCAGGGGAGGGCTACAAGAATGCACGCAGCCACTTTTCTCTAAGTTTGCAATTACTTCGGAGTAAGCTTCTTTCCCGAAGGAACTACACGATCTTCGTGCCTGTTGCACGCGGGTCACCGCCAGCACTAGTTAGCAGGACCAAAGCCACGGCCCGTCCACCTCGGCGGTTTCTCTGAGGGAGAGCGCTCGCTGATGAGCCGCCTTGCCGGAGCCCTCCCGCAGCCGCCCAGCAGAACCCACCGCGGCTTCCACTCCCCTCACCTCCACGGAGCAGCTTCCCGCCAGGCCATACCGGCTTTTGAGACGTTCCACTATAATGTCCTGCCCGGGTGGCTTGACTACCCGGCGCTCCATGCTCGGCCGCTGACCTCGGTCGCCTGGGGAACCGCGCTCACAGCTGCGTAGGAGCGGACAGTACGTCACGACGCCGGCCCCGCCCCCAGGGAAGCCGGAAGCCAGTGGGAAGGGGAGTATGAGAAGGGCACTCTGGAAGCTCATTGCATCAGCTTCTGTTCCAAGTCTTTCAACCCCGCAATAAACAATGCGAGGAGTAAAAAGCAGGGCGATTATCCTCTGCACAACTGAGGGCCACTATGCTCCCCAGGGCCGTGGGCCACAGGGTAAGATTACTGTGCATTAGAACTAGCCTAAAAACAGGTTTCTTCATCTAAAGTGGTTTACTGTCACAGAAAAATCAGGACTTGTCTGAACGCTAAGCACATAAAGTGCAGATTACCTTTACAATTCCTTTGCCAGTTTCCATAGGTGGTACAACAAGGCACTAAAATAAATTTGAGACAAATATGGAAGGTGGGAGGAGGAGGCCAGTCATAATCAGTTGGACAGCTGCCTCAGCTACACAGGGAGACCTATCTCAGAAAAACTCTGTAAACACACAGGCTGGTTTAAAACATAAAACCTAACCAGGACTACTGGCTCACGCCTTTAATCCCAGCACTCTAGGAGGCAGAGACAAGCAGATCTCTGAGTTCGAGGACAGCCTGGTCTACAAAGCAAGTCCAGAACAGCCAAGGCCACACAGAAAAACCCTGTCTTAAAAGATCTTTAATAGCCATAATGGTTTGAAATAGCATAAAATGTCTCCCAAAAGGCATTTGCAATCATGCATAAAGTCCAGCTTCACCTACAAAAAAGTTCAAGGCTACAGATTATTTTTAAAAGACATTTCCATTTACTTAAGAAATAAGGCATCAACTTCTCAGCTAAAGAGCTTCAATACTTTTACATGAATTTGTATTACACAGGTTTCCAAAGAAGCTACTAAATGTACATGGTTCTCTTTACAAGGCCAACTTGAGGTAGGTTTGTACCATATACCTGGCTGTGGGATAAAATTTTTGCAGTGTAGTGATGATATTGAATAATAATTCATTACATAAGCCAAAACCTTCCTTGCCCTCGTCTAATAGTTGGACACAAGAAAATAGAACAGACTCAATAGATTGGATTATAGAGAATATTATGGTCTAACTAGATTCCTTGAAGTTTTATACTAAGTAGGCCCGTTAAGAATACCCCTTCCTTTAACAGTTTGCCTAACAACACAAACCACATCCAAGTTCATTTTCAGTGTTTATCACACTCTTGATGTTGAGGTTAGAGCTCAGAGTACTGACCTTTAACTGATCTCATTTTACATCTAGTCACAAATGAAACAGACAACTTAGATGCACAAGTAATGAATGTTTTAAATGTCATGGCTATTATCAATGATCACTTTATTTCTGCTACAAAATTCACCAGAAAAAGGTACTGCAACAATCTAATATAAAGCAAATCTTTAACCAAAGAACATGGTATAGATCTTTTAAAAATATTCATACTTTATCACAAGAACTAGAGAAAAATTCAATTCTATCATCAGGACCAAGCTGAAGTTTTTGAGGTAGTAGAGACAGGTACAGAAAAATGAATGGAAATAAAGGAAAGAAAAAAAGGAAAAAAAGAAGGATGGGGAGAAAGAAGCAAAAAAAGAAAGCTAGCTAAGGAAGTGGTTAACTTATTTAAAATGTAAAAATTAATGTCTTCAAAAGGGCACTACATAAAAGACAATATCCTACTTAAAACTTAACTTTTAACTTATATAGGAGCATAAAAATTACAAAAGAGCACTTTGGTTAACTCATATCTTCTGTGGCTCTATCCATTCATAAATGAGTCTATACATAAATGAGTACACAAATAGTTAAGATTACCATATATATTTCAAATCTGAAATAAAAGTATCTGAGTTGTGGTCCCCTAGTTCAATGGTAAATACCATGCAGGAAGTCCAAATATCTTAACAGGAATTAAAATAAGATTGCATATATCATATTCCTTCAATAGTCTGGGTAGCTCTATTGCTTTTAACAAAATTAGTATTAGCCATTCTAATACAGATATGTCAGGAGTACATAAACACAAGTACACCTGAAATACACCAGTGTTTAAACTTTTATTTCACACCATGCAAGATCAATTATTACACATTAAAAAGTGGCAACAGCTATAAGCTACAATTTTACATTTATACATCAGAAACATGTTTTCAAAAGGTGAACATAATTACCATACTGTAACAACAATTAAGCATCAATTAAACTGCTTATATAGATAAAATTCACTGTGAAAAATTACTTTATAGCTGTCCACATTCTGTGATAATAATTCTTCGACTAACAGACCCTTTAGGAGAACCAAATGATTCAATCTTTCTCACAGTATCCATGCCATCCTTAACAAACCCAAATACAACATGCTTAAAGTCCAAATGTTCTGCTTTCTTCAGTGTTATAAAAAATTGAGAAGTGTTGGTATTCGGGCCATAATTGGCCATGGATAGTAAGCCCGGAGCAGTGTGTTTCACATCAAAGTTTTCATCTTCGAATTTATCTCCATAAATGGACTGTCCTCCTGTTCCATTGAATTTGGTAATATCTCCCCCCTGAAAACCAAAAAATCTTTGTTAATACTGAGTCAAACATTAAAACACACAGAAATTAGCATACCAGGTTGAATCACAAATTCTCTATTTTTTGTTTTGTTTTGTTTCTAGACAGGGTTTCTCTGTGTAGGATTGGCTATCCTGGACTCGCTTTGTAGATCAGGCTGGCCTGTCTCTCTGAGTGCTAGGATTATAGGTGTGTGCAACAGTGCCAAACTAATGCTCTATTTCTTTAAGAATACATTTTGACAGGCAGGCAATGGTGGCACATACCTTTAGTCCTAGCACTCAGGAGGCAGAGGCAAGTGGATCTCTGTGAGTTTAAGGCCAGCCTTGTCTACAGAGTGAGATCCAGCACAGCCAGGGCTACACAAAATAGAGAAACCCTGTCTCAAAAAGAAAAAAAAAAAAAAAAAATTGTTTTGGGGAGGGGGTTCCCTTATTGTGTTTCTAGCAGGTACCAAGCATTAGAAATTTGGAGCCTTTCAGTCTGAATGCTTGAAAAGGAGTCTCAAGTTCAATGCCAGCTACAGTATGGGAAGGCTGAAAATTCCCAAGATGAGGATGACAGCAAGAAGAAACTCCTTGCCAAGTTGGTGGGGTCTAGTTTTAGCAGATTTAACCATGATGTATGCACAGTGAAACTTACTTGGCAAACAAAATCTGGAACTACTCGGTGAAAAATGGAGTTTTTGAAACCAAAGCCCTTCTCTCCAGTGCATAATGCTCTGAAGTTCTCAGCAGTTTGAGGAACAATATTTGAAAATAATTCCATGATTATTCGTCCTAGAGGTTCACCATCCACACAAACATCAAAGAACACCACAGGATTGGTCTCCTTTGATAATTCTGCTGCAAGGGATACTTGTCCATTCTGGAGTTTCAATATATTTTGTTGACATTCTTCAAATTTTTTCTTAAAACACTCAGTCATTTCCTTTGTCTTAAATCTCACTGCAAGCTGTTCTACTTTTGCTTCTCCATCTGTTAAAAGAGGATGAGGGGAGGAGGGTTGGGAAGACCTTAAATTAAAGCAAGGTACAAAGCATGTGGATGTTGTAGATTTCAGAGAAGTCAATAAAATTAAAAGGCATTTGAAGGTAAAAACTCACCGGCATAATCTGAGGCAGTCCAAACTAAAGCATTATTTGAAACATTTAAAGGTTTCAATTCCATGGCTTTGGTAATAACATGGTTTGCACACACTTTAAAAACCTGGTCTCTTCTCATTAGGATCCGATAATAATTCTTCATCGTATGCCAGAGAATCTTTATGTCTCCAATACCTCTCTCCTTCCACTGACTGACATCTCTATCCCATCTATAAAGTTTGGCTCTCTCTTTGAACAAAATCTCTTCATCTTCTTCTCCAGATTTCACTTCTACCTATGACAACAGATGAGAATGGCTATTTTATAAACAACTGGTTATAACAAGTCCATTAACCAATGCCAACAGGTTTGACAATCTCATGGTAACTAATAATACCCTATACTAGTCATGTATCTGACTTGGTTAAGTAGTAAAGATGTGATTTATCATTAGATACTTTCAGATTATATACTATTTTACTTTTCTTAGTGAAAATAAAATGAGGATCAGGAGTTCACAGTCAGCCTGGGCTATATGAGACTAGAGTGGATATACAATAATCCCAGCACTCCAGAGACCTCTGAGAGGCAAGAAAATTACTAAAGGTTTGAGGTCAATGTAGAGAGAATTTGGGTGTCTTTAAAAACTCAGATAGTTATGTAAACGTGTTTTTGTTTTAAGCCATGTGTGGGATATGGGCATACTTCAGATTGTCCAGAGAAGCAAACTATTTGCCCTGTGTGTGCTCTGGCAGGGGCCTAATTCTGTCAGCTGAAGATAGTTTAATTCTGGGGACTCTAGGGAGGGTGTAAAAAGACCAGAGCCCCAAGAGAAGGGGTGAGGCTGTTCCTCTTGCTGGTTCCTGCTTCTGTTTCTGCTGTTGCTGATTTGTTAAGTGGTCAAGATAAAAGTTGTAAATGTCCTGACAAGATGAAAACTGGACTCAACACCAAGGAACTCAACACCCCTAATCAGCAAGAAGTAACCTAAAAAGCTACCCCCTTTTCCCTCTAACCTTTCTTTTCTACTTGGTGTTGGGAGGTTAGAAGGAATTAGGGTGGAATATGGGTTAGAAGGGAGGTAGATATGAGACTCCAAATAATGTAGGTTTAAAACAAACAAACAAACAAACAAACAAAAATACCAGATGCTACAAGTCAGTCTGGGCTACACAGTTAATTTCAGGCCAGATAGTGCAATATAACAATATGTTATCTCACAAAAACAATACCCTACCCAGAAGCGCTGATTCTTTCTGGTTTTGTAACATTTATTTTTATTTTATATATATGGCTGTTTTGCCTGCATGTATATCTATGCA